TTTTTAACCTGCTAGGAGTTGGTAAACATGTTTGGTTACCCACTGGTAGGTAACATCTTGGACGTTTTTAACCTGCTAGGAGTTGGTAAACATGTTTGGTTGTCCACTGGTAGGTAACATCCTGGACGTTTTTTCTTTAGTCAATATTCTAATCGTGACTTCAACTAACAATGCTTTGCGACGTCATAGTTCATGGCAGTTTTTCCCTGATCAGTAATAAAGAAAATGCATACCAAAGGGAAACAAATTGCTTTTGAATATAACATCTGTGGGAGAAAAAAGTCCCCTAACTCGTGATGGTTGATTATCATGTTGATGTAACTGTTTATTTCATTCTCATTAGTTAATTACACTAATTTAAAATCACTCAGTAAGTCTCGTGTCTTTATACATCTTGAAATTAAATAACTCGAGTTAGATGAACATGGTAACCAACCATCACTCGTTGGGAACCTCTATATCCCTGTTCTTATATATTAGCTTCCAACATAGGTTTCATATCTGTGTTGTACATACAATGTACTTATTGAAATTTCACTCACAGGTTTCATATCTCTGTTGTGCATATTGTAACTTCACACATGTTTCATATCTCTGTTGTGCATATTTTAGCTTCACACATGTTTCATATCTCTGTTGTACATATTTTAGCTTCACAAATGTTTCATATCTCTGTTGTGCATATTGTAACTTGACACATAGGTATCATATCTCTGTTTTGCATATTTTAGCTGCACACATAGGTTTCATATATCTGTTGTGCATATTTTAGCTGCACACATAGGTTTCATATCTCTGTTGTGCATATTGTAACTCGACACATAGGTATCATATCTCTGTTGTACTTATTGTAATTTAACACATAGGTTTCATATTTCTGTTGTACATATTTTAGCTTCACACATAGGTTTCATATTTCTGTTGTGCATATTTTAGCTGCATACATAGGTTTCATATCTCTGTTGTGCATATTTTAGCTTCACACATAGGTTTCATATTTCTGTTGTGCATATTTTAGCTTCACACATGTTTCATATTTCTGTTGTGCATATTGTAACTTCACACATAGGTATCATATCTCTGTTGTACATATTTTAGCTTCACACATGTTTCATATCTCTGTTGTGCATATTGTAACTCGACACATAGGTTTCATATTTCTGTTGTACATATTGTATCTTCACACATAGGTTTCATATCTCTGTTGTGCATATTGTAACTCGACACATATGTATCATATCTCTGTTGTGCATATTGTAACTTCACACATAGGTATCATATCTCTGTTGTACATATTTTAACTTCACACATAGGTTTCATATCTCTGTTGTGCATATTGTAACTTCACACATATGTACCCGGGTATTCAAATTGACCACCAAGTCGTTATTTGTCGTGAATAATTCTTTATTCGACATAGGTTAAAACACCTACACTCTGTTACAAACACAAATTAAAAGACTACAATTACTCAGAGCGTATACACATTACACATATAGGTTATAAGAAAGGGAGGTAACTCGTAGATATCACTTGTTACATTTAACACAAATATAAACTATAAATGGACACATTTAAATACATTTGACCAAGATATCAACTTTGTAAGAATTATTATTACAATCATGCTATTTAAATTATATTAAGTAGCTAACATAACATATAACATTAAACTGATTTTTCAGAGCGAAAGATCTACTTTCCTATAAATTACTTATAAAGATCTACATCATTATGCACGTAGATAAACTGGGTTTTCCCATAAATAAGTATAACATTTAAGCATAAAAGAGGTAATCACCTGTGCATGGCACAGAGCCGTTTCAACCTCATACAATACTAATCACCGGTACTCCATGCTTTCTTCCTTTTGCTTATACGTGATAACATCTAAAATGCATAAAAACCTGTCTTACTCATAATACTCTGGATATAAACATACAGAAGATAATGGAATAATTTAACCATTACTCATTTATATTTAAGTTGAAGCAATGCAAAAAACTACTTTACACAATGTAAAGTTACAACTCACAATGGAGATTTTGAATAGAGAATAATTTAATTTAAATACCAAACTAATTTTTTTTTTCAGCTAATCCATACTGTACAAGATAGCTAGATACAATTGATTGAACTCATACTACTTAAAACATAACTTACCTACAAATTCCCTGTCTGTCTTACAGTCCCTCTGTCGTAAAATGTCTTGATCAAAAAATAGGTGTTTTCAGTTTGGCAGGCAAGAGAGTACTGATCTTCCTTACAAAGAGATTCCCGCCAAACTGACCAAAGGGTATTATACTAGTTTGACCAATAGAAAAATGCACAGCTATCACATGTACGCCATGTGATATATAAAAATAGAACAATACAGGTAAGGTGATATATAAAAATAGAACTACAGGTAAGTAATCAAATAATCACTCCCTGTAACCTGTAACACACACATATCTCTTTTACACACTCTAAACAATTTGGGCACAAACAAATAGACATGTATACATACAAATTATATAAAACAAGATAGTAATCACCCTATTACACATAGGTATCATATTTCTGTTGTACATATTGTAACTTCACACATATGTTTCATATCTCTGTTGTGCATATTGTAACCTCACACATAGGTATCATATCTCTGTTGAGCATATTTTAGCTTCACACATATGTTTCATATCTCTGTTGAGTATATTTTAGCTTCACCCATATGTTTCATATCCCTGTTGTGCATATTTTATCTTCACACATAGGTACCATATCTCTGTTGTACATATTGTAACTTCACACATATGTTTCATATCTCTGTTGTGCATATTTTATCTTCACACATAGGTATCATATCTCTGTTGTACATATTGTAACTTCACACATATGTTTCATATCTGTGTTGTACATATTTTAGCTTCACACATAGGTTTCATATCTCTACTGTACATATTGTAACTTCACACATAGGTTTCATATCTCTATTGTACATATTGTAACTTCACACATAGGTATCATATCTCAGTTACACTGTATCAACCTCCTTTTGTAACATATTACATAAATACTACCGTTCTTTGAAAGCGTATCCGCTACATTTTGTAGCCCCACAAACAGAAAGCACTCCTTCTTCTTTTGTAGTCTAGCTAAGGAATAGGAACCCGCCTTATCTGTAAGTTTATCTTCCTTCCTCTTGTGGCATTACGCGTAGGAATCCTACCTGAATATTGATATTATACATTTCTCTTTCCAGGCCGTGGGCTTGCGATGTCCAGGGGCGAGATTGCCGGTATCGTAGTTGGTCTGGTGACAGTTCTCCTCATCAGCCTGTTCTTAGGAACTCTATTTTACCGCCGAAAAACTAGGTTCGTTTAGCGCATATTGCTGGAGTCAAAATGTTCTCTTAATATATAATCACAAGGGTGTAAAATAGAAATAAATACTTTTCATTTTCATTTTATCACGCTCATGAAACCAGACAGATGGTTTTATTGTGTTGTTATCATATCGTACGACCCAAAAAAAATCTTATATATTGTTATGCGAAATAATGCTATGTGAAAATAGAAAATTATCTAAGAATTGATTATCTAAAAAGAAATCACAAAATATTGAACTTCAAAGCACTAAAAACTCCTTAAATTGTTTGCAAGATGGTTGCTTCTAATGATTTGCCTTTGTTTATCAGGGGACCAGAAGATATTTCTTTCAAGATGTTTGACAGAATTTCGTTTAAGCCATCCTTCCCTAAGCCTCGTTTGGAAGTGCCTCCATCGTTCTCGTTCCGGTTTGGCGGATCCTCAAGCGTACCGGAAACAGTTGGTGCGCGGTCACAAGGTTTCGATAACCCGATGTACGGCACTAATCCGCTCTCGGTATGTGACTATTCATAATTACTAACATTTTAAATCATTTCATTATTGTCAAATCAAATATATCTAGATTACATTTAACTTAACAGTAGACTGTAAATGTGTGCATTGTAGCCTATATCACCTATGTAAAACATGCCCATGTCTGGGAAACAAATGCCTGTGAAAGACGCAGCGAATCTGATCCCCCCAAAACAGAGCTAAATAGATAGAAATCACTCAGCGGTTTCCTATGTATCATCCTTCAGACCTTAAAACCTGCTATATCAAAATAAATATGATCTAATGATACTATTTTGACTTTATTCAAATGACATAAAAATATATTTGACTGACAAGTAATTATATCGATAATCATGAAAACTCATCATATGCATATCAATTTATAAGCTACTCTATAGAGATGAGCTTGTATATCTAGTCAGGTGTATCGGTCACTGTGAAAGACAAGTTCTATGCAGTGCACGTGCTCCCGTCTCTGATACGGCTCAGTTAAATTAAACTAGCACCACATAAAGTCTCCAAATATATGATTATCACGTCTTCTTAATAACAGAATGGCAAAAGAAACATTGTTCCGGAATTGTCCGGAATACGATTTATCTCCCTTGTAAAAATGAAATAAAATAATCTTATTATTACCACTAGTTTCAATGTAAACCCTTCTTCGTATACATGCTATTCTTACAAAATTGCGAATGGTTCCACAGACACAAAACAGTTTTTAGCTCACCTTGGTCCTTTTGAGCTTATGCCATACCGTGGCGTCCGTCGTCCGTCCTTCGTCTGTACGTCAACAATTGCTTTAAACGACTTCTTCTTAACCACCGACTGAAATTAAACTAAATTTGACTGGCAGCATCCCTAGGTAGTGGGGATTCAAAATTGTACAAATGGTGTGGCTGACCCCCAGGGGGGTGAAGGGCGGGGCCAAAAAGGGTTATTTGGCTATATTGCTACAAACGACTTCCTCTCTGGAACTTAGCGATGGATATCAACCATATTTGACTGGAAGCATCACTAGGTGGTGGTGATTCAAAATTGTACAAATGGTTGGGCTGACCCCCCAGGGGGCTGAAGGGCGGGGCCAAAAAGGGTTATTTGGCTATATTGCTACAAACGACTTCCTCTCTGGAACTTAGCGATGGATATCAACCATATTTGACTGGAAGCATCACTAGGTGGTGGTGATTCAAAATTGTACACATGGTGGGGCTGACCCCAAGGGTGCTGAGGGCGGGGCAAAAAGGGGGCAATTTGGCTATATTGCTACAAACGACTTCTTCTGTAGAACTATGCCATGGATATCAATCATATTTGATCAAAAGCATTCATTGGAGGCAGGGATTCAAAATTGTACAACTGGTGGGGCTGACCCTCAAGGGGGCTGAGGGGCGGGGCCAAAAGGGGGCAATTTGGCTATATTTCTATAAACGACTTCTTCTGTAGAACTATGCCATTGATATCAATCATATTTTGTCGGAAGCATTCATGGGTGGCAGGGATTCAAAATTGTACAAATGGTGTGGCTGACCCCGGGCTAAGGAGTGGGGTCAAAAACAGTTTATTACTTGGTTGAGATCCCCACTGTATAACCACATATACAATTGCTGAGTATAAAGAGAAGAATGCACATTTGCTTCCTGGATGGGCCTAGGGTCTAGCCCCACCCTTGGAGACATAGTCCCTGGGCCATCAATTTAAAACGGTTAAGATCCCCACCCCAAAACTATGTATACAAATGCTGGGCATAAAGAGACAAATGCAGTCATGATATTAGAATAGACCCTGGGGTCTGACTGAACCCCTACGGACCTAGTTTCTTAGTCACAGCTTGGAAACAGTTAAGATCCCCACCCTATAACCATATATACAATTGCTGAGTATAAAGAGATGAATGAATATATGCTTCCAGGATGGCCTTGGGGTCTGCCCCACCCTTGGAGACTTAATCCCTGGGTCATAACTTCGAAATGGTTTAGATCCCCACCCCAAAACTATATATACAATTGTTGGGCATAAAGAGACGAATGCAGTCATGGTATTAGAATTGACCACAGAGTCTGCCCCACCCTTGCAGACTTAACCCCTGGGTCATAACTTAGAAACGGTTGAGATCCCCACCCAAAAACTATAAATACAAATGATGGGCAAAAAGAGACGAATGCAGTCATGATATTATAATTGATCCTGGGGTCTGGTCACAACCCTAGGGACATAGTTTCTGAGTCACAGCTTGGAAACAGTTGAGATCCCCACCCCATAACCATACATCAAATTGCTGGGCATGAAAAATCTAATACAGATATGCTACATATTCCCTTGGATCTCATTCGGAGAATATTTTGTCATAATTGCTTAGATATCCAGGTGAGCAATGAGGCCCTCTGGGCCTCTTGTTTCATCATGTTATGATTATGGAATAGTCTACATTTTTTAAGCGATTCGATATTACATATTTCAGTTGTTTACACTAATTGCAATTGATTTTTAGACACATTTTGTTTAATTTTGTATTTAATAGAAATTTTGTTGAATTGATATGTAAGGTATTTTCATTAACTTTACAAATTAAGGATAATTAAAAATAAAACAACAAAGTATGATTGTCATCTTTAAATATATTCACGCTTCCTCCTAATCACACTGTAGAACGATAAACCTTTGGATCTTGAGATGATGCCTACATTACTGCAACTTCCGGAAGTAGAGGAGCAGCCATCTTACGATAATGGTTTGGGTTTTGACAATCCGTTATATGAGAATGTGGTAAGAACACTTATTAAATATAAGATACTACTTTGATAATATAACTGTATCGAATAACGTCATAACACTTTCTTATTTACACATTAGACATGTGTCGTTTTTGCAGTTATATCTCACGCCTGATAAGATGTTATGCTACTTACACTTTTTTAGTGATTAAATGAACAATACGGGATCATATGAAACGCTGAAAGAATCCTTTTGTCGCATTTTATATTGATAATATTGTTTCAAGTAATGGATAGTCAACTGGTAATGCAATCCATTTATTATAGTTGAATTATTTTTTTCAAAAACTGGAAGTGATATTAGTTATAAATAACATGAGGGGATTTAAATCTTATTAATTGATTTCTGCGTTTAGAAAAAACAAATATCAGAAACGCCAAGCTTATTATTACAGGTAATTTTAAAAGGTACATATCTTACACCTGAGCAGTAGTGATTATTATATAAATCGTTTAAGAACACGTAATGATCGTACTGGTTCTCCTATGTATTCCATAACGTACCCTTAGTCTGTCTTTGTGTGTGTTGTTAACAGGAGTCTACCCAGTTCAGTGACCCGACAGACGGGGACATCAAGATGGACGTGGACGAAAGCCTTGGTACAGACCTGGGTTCACAACTTAACTTGTAATTGTTGTGGGCGAAAACATTGCGACGGATACCTGGCCCTTTATTCATTAACAAAATTGTACTCATATTCAGACCCGAGTTATGTACTCAAACAATCTTTGCTGAAACTCATAGATACCATTGCAACGGGCCCCTATAGGTTCGAAGAAAATATTGGCCTGTTGCCTGTCACTGCGTGTTATTGTAAGATGTGACTTATGTTGGCCTGTTGCCTGTCACTGCGTGTTATTGCAAGATGTGACTGATGTTGGCCTGTTGCCTGTCACTGCGTGTTATTGTAAGATGTGACTTATGTTGGCATGTTGCCTGTCACTGCGTGATATTGTAAGATGTGACGTATGTTGACCTGTTGCCTGTCACTGCGTGTTATTGTTAGATGTGACTTATGTTGGCCTATTGCCTGTCACTGCGTGTTATTGTAAGGTGTGACTTATGTTGACCTGTTGCCTGTCACTGCGTGATATTGTAAGATGTGACTTATGTTGGCCTGTTGCCTGTCACTGCGTGTTATTGTAAGATGTGACTTATGTTGGCCTGTTGCCTGTCACTGCGTGTTATTGTAAGATGTGACCTATGTTGGCCTGTAGAATCGTACGCTTTCATTTGTTTGTTCTTTTTGTGGGACATTGCAGAAACTAAAATTGATTTGATGCCTCCATTACAACCCGAACTAAATGTTCCTTTCTAACTTTCATTTTGCTTCTTTTGACATTAGCTGTTGTGACTAACAAGCAATCCCGTGCGACGAATTATAAAGACAACACATAAAATATTTTGAGTGCAGAAAACGAATCAAAATAGTTTAACATGAGCTGGAGTTTGACCAGGGTATATAATATGAGTTTGAGCAAGAAACGATAGTCGTGTATTTCAAGTTTACCGTGTAACAGTCGTGAACAAAAGCTGATATCATATTGGATCTTCCTTAGGTGAATGAAAACATTTAAAAAAAAACTTTGGTGTTTGTTACTGTAGTAGATAATAGCATTGAAACTGACCATGTATTCAAGCTAAACAGACATTGGCCTCGTGTTTGAATATTTCATGTCGGAAGTCGTCGGTTTTCTTTAAAGCAACATATTCAAGCTCTAGATTGTAATAAAACATCAAATTAAATGAGTTTGACAAAAATCATGTTTGTGTGATATACTAGCATGTTTTATATTTAAACAGTACTGGCTAATATGACTGCCCAAAGGGATTCGATGCTGAACAAGAACAGAAATTAATATTTTCAATCTTTTGTTATATATTGTTCCATCACTTAATGTCCAGATTTGCAAATATTCTACAAAGAGGCTATCCCAAGCACACACGTTCTTTCTTTAATTCTTACCCCTAACTTCTACTAATCTACGTTTTATTGAAATCTAGCGAGTAGGTGGATATTTTGATAGTTCGTTACCCAGTTAACATTTTGAGCTTTGGATGAATATTTCTTTTCAAAAACTAAAAACAGTTGTGTGCGCTATAAACTGATTATTGTACATTGCTTGGTATCATTAGCATTATTTGACGAAAAGAAAAATAAATCTGGTTTTATTGAATATCTGTCCATGCTGAGCGTCAAACGCCTTTTTATTATCCGTCTGTCCAGTACGTAAATGATAAAACATTGTATATTTACCCTTCCTTTTGCCCGTTGGCTTCATTGCTATTTTAATTTCATGGTACCTATGTAAACGTACAAGATGAACAGAGAAACTACTTTGCAAATGTTCTAATCCTAGGAAATAAGAAGTTAGGTTGTAGCATGAAACTGGCCCGATCCAGGTTAAATGTATAACATAGTCGTCCATATGTCAGGCGGCGCTTTACGTATTCAGTAAGAGCACTACCTGTAAAGGTATGGACATTGTTTTTTCTTTCTAAACATTTTATTCAGGTTGTTAAGTATGGATTATGAAGAGTTCTTTTTACAAAACCCAAAAAAATGTCTATGTGGCGTTTCGATGACTAGTACGATATGTACACTGTCACCTTCACCGAAATGACTCGATTCAGCTACGCTTTGTTTAATACTTCGGTACATATATAACAACACATAAACGTCACATAGAAGATTTTATTGGTTGTGTAAAAAAAAACTCTTCAAAATAAGGTATGTTAACCTGCCGCCTTTAGAAAAGTAAAAACGCGTCGTGACCCAGTTGTATAAAATTGTAATTAGCTTATCAAATATAAGCCTTTATTTTGGTTTTCAAGAAGCTTATTAAAATCAAAACATTGTCAGAAAGGTTGTTACATTGATAATTTGTGTTTTTCGGTTGTTTTGAAAATGACAGTTTGATGTCACGTTAACCTTATTGAAGTTTGAACATCTTAGTCACAGTTGATGAAAAGTTTCCCTAACAAACAAACATATAAAACTCAACAAAAAATGCTAAAATGGACTTAATTTTATTATTCAATTCACATTAAGTTGGTATATTCAATAAGTTACATTGTAATAAATTCATAATAATAAAAAAAAATCAATAAAATAACACATCTATCATCGTCAAATTAAGTAATATATAAATTGATGCTATGATTTACATTAAATACAATTATTTGATAACAAACAATAAACAAAAGTTAAACATTATCTCAAACAAATATTTACTCACAATTCATAGTTTCATTAGTTAAAGCATATATTTACAAAAAATGCTCGTGAACATTTTTAAAACAATGATATGTACACATATGGAATCTAACCTTTAAAACAATCAGCTGAAATGACTACTGCCGAACTTAATGACCTTCTTCTTCCACACCTTCCACGTCATGAACTTGACCTTGGTCAGATGTCACAGCCAGGTCAGGAATGTTGTCAACGTCCACCTTAATTTTCAGGTAGATGGTGTCATCCTGCAGGTAGGTAGGCGATTCCAAAACACTGTGCTCTACAAACTGTGGGACTCCGGAAGCAATGTTCATGTCTGTCTCTGGTTTCCCGAAACTGGTGTTTTCAGGGTCGGGTTTGAAGGTATCCGACAAGTTTTGTGTTCTCGTATCCTGGTCCATCAGCATTAGCGTCACGTCCTGTTGGAAAGGCCAGGGTAATAGAGCGTCGTATTCTCCCTTCATAATGACTATATAGAAGGAAAGGTGTGTCCCGTGGCCCATCCCGTCTCCGTTCAGATAGATCCGCCCGCACATCTTGTACCCGTAAGTACTGGAATAGAACGGGGGACTGTTAATACAATGGCCAACTTCCTGACATCTTCGGGCATAGTCCCGGATTTTCCATATCAACAGCCCGTCATAATTTCTACTCCATAGATGTTGGACTTTATCATCCAACTCGTAGAGACGTACATCAGTCACCCTTATTTTGTTCTGCACCCGTTTGACTGCTCGCGCTGAAATGACAGAAGAAGGTAGCGTAGAAGTGTGCAACAAGAATTGAATTGTATCAAATGTTATGTACACTTCATCAAACTATTATACTTAATGAAAGAAATTGTCTTATGCTTTACCACAAAAGTTGGATATTTTATATTTACAATAATTTTGAAACGTAAATTAGTGATGGGAGGGAAACACCTTTTAGCACGACTTTTTATCTTTTATGAAGTTTTAATAAATGCATATCAAGTTTAGTTTTATTCGCGTCTCTATAGGACCCCCCGAGTAACAGCCTGTTGTGGGGATCAGAATCAACATTCAAGATATTCAAAAGGCTGACCATTAGGGAGGTCATGGACGAGGTAAAATGAGCCAAAGAGTGGAAAAACTTTCAACTTTCAAATTATACAGACCATCCTTATATAAAGTTATCTATAGTTGATGAAGAGGCTGAACAATCCAATAATGATTAGGGGCGGTGTTATCATTTGTTAGATAGTGTAAAACGCTCCAATCAAGTATCTTCTGAACGTTATTTTCATAAATCAAACTTTTGAGGATAAACATCTACCCCCAAGCAGAGATAGGGCGTTAAGCCATTATATGTCATAGGGTACAAACTTTTAAAAACGTCTCTGATACTAACTGTTAGGTTTATCATAAATTAATCCTTAGATTAAGAGATTAAAAACCATAATAATTAGATTATTGTTCAGACATTTATGACGTGACTTGCGCTACATGAAGTAGGTGGTTGGTCTTGATAAGTAGCGAGATTTATGAAAGACGTGTGAGTTAAACTGGGAGGGAAGACTAAGATAAATAACCTTAAGGGCGATTGAGCAAATAGCGCATGTATACTGCTAAAGGCGAAAAAAAATAACTAAGCGACTAAGGATCGTAAATATTCTTTTTACCAATATAAAAAAATGGTTTTAGAACGATAGCGCCAATTACGAACTGCATTTTTTCCATTTGTCTTGGAAACAAAAACTGAAAAGCAAAAATGACCCTAATCTGTCAATTTAGTCTACGCACATGTTTTTGCCCAATTATTTTTCATTTTGATATCAAAACATTTGATTTGTTTTAATCAACAATTGGAAAATAAGAACTGACGAAAAGTTCGCATTACTGATTCAGATTAATACTTAAGACTACTGAATTGAAGATATCAAACAGTTGAAACAGACGAAAGCACGACTGCACCACGTGCCCCCCTTCACTGAGAAAGTTTGATAAAAACATACAACATACCATCCTTGATATGGTCCTCCACTTCTTTGTTTTGCTCCTTCAAATCCCCAACACGTTCCAGAATTTTCTTTTGGATTTCACTCAGTCTCTGAAATTGTGACAAATAAATAGAGCAAATAAATGTATTATAGTACTCACAATTGTTGAAATACTTATTTTCTAGTACTGTATACAACTATCATAAATGAAATATCTCAAGCATTGCATGTTTTGTTATACCAAAGGGACAGAAACTTTGTTTGGTTCTGTTTGTTTTCAAATTATGTTTTTGGCACAATGAAGAATGCCATGAATCATGTTTGCCGCATTCAGCATTTCCCTCTTTTCCGTATAGTGAATATCAAACATACCTTAAAGTCCTCTCGGATAGATGTTCCATCGAATGCTTCCTCTTCATCATCTTCTCGATACTTTTCTTCCGTTATATGATTAGATCGCTAGAAATATGATTGTACATTTGATAATTATATCACTAGGAAAATAATTGTTTTTCTACTTTTCATTGGTTATAAGTGTCGATTAATTGTTAATAAATTATTAAGCGTTAATGTTTTGTAAAGGACAACGGTTGATTCGCCTGCAAGTGTGTTTTCAGAAGAGAAAAATACGGTAGCATCATGTTGTTACTGTAACGGATTGTTTCCCAAACGATTCGTGCAAAAACATTGATATCAAAGGTCACAATGACGATTTCAGAACGTTAAAATATGCTGTCAAACAAAATCCTTCAATCCTATTTATGAGCGGTGCATGTTACATTCATATGTTTCTTCACTTTCTATTTAAGCCTATTGCTACAGTTGTAAACATGTGTTTCTAACACAAACCCGCTCTTAGATGAATTTATAATATATGTAATAGGTTGTTGAGGAAATTTGTTAAACTTTTATTTCGTTTATTTCTATTTTGCACAAATATCAACGCTGTAATACATATTTCCTCTTCCAGTTTCAGAATAGTTTAGTCGGAAGTACATCTACACAAACGTTGTCCTTTATAAAAGTTATGTTCAAACCATACCACTTGCCCAGGTTACCGACTGTTTCTGACCTTCCAAGACATCTCTTGACGGACTGAAAGTGAACAGGTCTGGCTACAGCAACCATGGCAACGCCAGGTCTCGGCTGCGCTACAGGTTGTCGTACACGACAGATCATCATTGCTCGCTGAATGTTGCAAAAAGCTTTGATTAAACAAGAAAACTTTTAATTATATCCATGGGGTAAATGTTCATTGGCCACTGATCTAATATTTATATAAATTCAATAATCAATAGTGTGAAATATGCCACTTGTTAACATTGCTATTGGAAAACCCATAACGCAAAAAAGTCTTTCAACGACATACCCCATAGAATATAATCAAGAAAATTCTTACAATGCATGTTGAATACGAAATTGAGACGGATTAGATAATATGACCAAGTACTTATATCGTTTGCGTGATACCTCATTTTTATGAATGTGTTTTCCACATCCGTTGATCTGACACACGGTCTTTGCACTGTCACCAAACAGGTCATCCAGACATTTTTCACAGACGAGATGACCGCATCCTAGCTGCAGGGGACGTATTAAGATACCATTGCACTGACCACACAGGAATTGAGTTGGCAGCTCCGGGTACTGGTTTTTGCTTTGGTGAGACATATTTGGGATCCTTAAACACTTTTCAAGAATGCCCTCCCTGTTGAATATAACAAAAATGAATCCAAATGTGGGTGCTGAATTTATATTTTTTTCCGTCAACAATAATTAAAATGGCTTTCTTTATTTATATGCACTTCACTAGAGTACTTTCTTATTGCAAGATGACGGCTTTACCACCCCTACACAATCGGTCTTTTGGACATGTCTGGGGAAACTGATGATACTATTACGTTAATGATTTTGTACTTTACATCTGAAAAAATAATTACACGTCTTTGTCATGCCAACCTTTAACAAATAAATGCATAATCCACCAAATAGGAAATTTATTCAATCTAGAATGCTGGTGGTATTTTAAATGTGTTAGCTGCAGATAATCTCTTTACAAATCATATACAACTTGTATTCTTAAAGGGTTTGTTCTCATCTTCAGTTATTTATGAAACAGACAATGCAAGCTACTGTTGTGGGCTACTAGCAAACCAATAATAAAGGGATTTTGATATACTAAAACACAGAGGATCCCTTGGTCAAGATTTACGTATTAAACAACAGTCGTATAAAATTAATCTTGAACCACATTATACTGTCTCCCGGGACAATAGCTGTCTTTAAATTACCTAAATTTCCCTTTCAAACTATTATCCGTCAATTAGAATAGGTCCAATCTCTGAGGCAGTTTCTCCAAATAGAGAGTCGATCGCTGAGGCAGTTTCTCGAAATAGAGAGTTGATCTATGAGGCAGTTTCTCTAAATAGAGAGTCGATCTCTGAGGCAATGTCTCGAAATATAGAGTCGATCTCTGAGGCAAAGTCTTGAAATGGAGAGTCGATCTCAGTGTCTCGAATTAGAGAGTCGATATCTGAGGCAGTGTCTCGAAATGGAGAGTTCATAAGTCGAAATTTCGATGAGTTTAAATGAGTATTTTGTTTTTTAATTCAAAATTAAATGAATCACAGAGGGAATCAGACTTTCGAGTTACCCTCATTTAATGCTGAGTAAGTAAAACAATCGTTGATAACATCTCAAAAAAATGAGTTCGAAAACAATTAATTCAGTGTATGAAAAGTGGGAAAGTCGCAATGTCTCTAGAAAACATTATCTGGAAATATCGGATAGCTAATTAAACGTTAATTAGTCGATCTGAAGATTAGAACAAAATTATGATTGAATTGACAATTTAGAGTTAATAGTCATAATTCTGAGGTAGTATCTTAAATGAGGGTGTTCTTACTTTAATGCTTCAGTTTAATGTAACAGAATAAGTTGAAAGGGGCAAAACATTGTATTTTATTGAAGCATTAAAGTGATCACCCCCTTTTCATATACATTATGTACGTACAGGTAAGGTTGAATGGCTAAGTTGGTAGCGCACTTACCTTTCACCTAGGACGGCCGGGGTTCGATTCCCCGGTCAGACGTGAACAGTTATGGGTTCACCTGCCCAATCACGTGGATATTCCCCGGGTACTCCGCTTTCCTCCATCAAACATCAAACCTCAGCGCACTAACACCTGGGCCAGAAAGAAAAAATAACCACCAAATTTGAAGTAACCAGTAATAAGAAAAATTCCGAGCAAAAGGAAGTATCTCGAAATCTCGAGTTAGTAAATCAAATTATGATATGTCGAGATTTTTGGAACTGCTTTCATGAAATTGGACTCAATAACTCCGAGAACTGAGCTCAAAAGTAAGTAGACATGTTGTAAATGCGAATTAAAAATCAAAAGATTGTACATAGGATTAAGGGAAGTTATATCGTCGATACGTCGATAGCGTGCGTTGATGTGAAACATCTGATTTTAATCGATCCGTTGTCGTGTTTCTCTCTACCAGTCTAAATAGTGATATTGTGTGTGTACATTACGTTGACTTACATGATATAAATAACAACAAGAAGATACATGCATACACAGAATCGGACGCCAGCAGTCTAATGTAAATGCTAATTGCTTACAAATTGTGCAGAATACTATGGTGAAACGTATATGGACCTAATATATACACTTATGACATTGTCACATTAAATGCTAAAACTATGGAAGAAATAACTATTCTAATTTGCATATGTGACAGAAACGACACATTAACTCACATACATTTTCTTTAATCTTAATTGGTCGTTAAGCCAAATATAACCTGTATAATAGAAGTAAACAACACAACAGCCAAGAAAAGGACAAACATATCATCAAATGAAAGATTTATAACAAGATTGTATTCGTTATATCAAACTAAAACAGTTAACATAATAATAAAATAACCATATACAGCATTTGATATAGCGCCCTATCTAGCTGACATAAGCCACTCTAAAGCGCTTTACAGTACATAGATACAAATTTAATACAATAAGCATATACATATATCCATACAATTGTGAGGCATTCGCAGGAGCTGCCTTATCAGGCGCTAACTACTAGTCCAACGCACCTTGCTAATTTCTCCCTATGTGTGTAATCCTGCGTGTGTGCTGGAGATGTAATGTAACATACAACAATATCATCACCAACATTTACTAGACATGCAGCAAACGTTACATGGATATGGATATATTACGGAAATACTACGCAAATTTGTTTATTATGATCAAGTTAAGATTGACTTCTAAATATGACACTAATATTTCGACGCCAGGAAAAGCCTATTTAGAATAAGCTACTTGATGCAACACAAAGCAAACATGTTGTAGAGTATGCAGTTAAGGACGTTAAGCATAAATAAAGGATACAACCCCAGGCTCAAATTGTTCCCAAAAACACGAGGAAATACAACCCTTGGTAACGTTACATAAACAACAGATAATGTATGTTTGAAGTAGTAATGGTTTTTCTTGTAAACCATGCCAGAATAAGTTCCAGCTACGTGGTATCGGCCAACCTCGGGGACTGATAGTCCACCAACAGAGTCAGTCTTTAGGTTGTGTAAACCATTAACCAGACATATAAGTTATATTGTCATAAATTAAAACATATAACTGACTTTTTAAGATATTAATTTCCAAATACCAATGGTGTTTTCGATTACAACACTTTCCTCTTCCTTCAATGTTTACATAACTATCTCTCAGCTGAACGGAACAGTTGATAAGCAAATGAAATATATCCTCTCCTAATTCATTATGAAAATTCTAAGACATTATTATGATACTCCATTCGTATCTGTATATGAACACTATTTTATTGAAATAAGAGAACATAGAAGAAATCATTCTTACCACAATGCTGTCAGTGAAGAGCACATCAGTCAGAAACGAAATTTGATGTAAAACATATGTTCAAACAACCTATGTTTATAACAACGTTAGGTTATTATAATTATTTTTCTATTTATAGATAATAACTGGAATTTCCTATCTATTTTTAAATCCACGTCATGTTCCTGTTCAGTGAAGTATTTCTTATTATAGAACATCAGGTAACCACAGTATAGCATTCACTGCATAATCTAACTGACTATCAAACCAAACAGAAAAGACGACAAATTTTAATTTGGATATTTTTTCACATTTTCTCATAAAAATCATCTTTTTCCCCCATTGATAGGCAAGTCTTTTTTAAAGCTGGACAACATTTCTTATGCATGCTAAAGAAATATAGTAATTGAGTGTTTACGGTTTTATGGCATGTATCCGTGCCCTATTTCACATTAACTTGCTGTAACATATGTTTTTCCTCTTTCAGAGTGTTTCACAATATTGTCCGTCAGGTCAACTTGCAAACATTGAAATGTTACTCTAGAAGAGGAAAACGTTTCTAATGAAATCTCGTTATGAGTAATACTTTTATTCTGAAATAATAACAGGAATTTCCCATCTATATTTAAATCCACGTAATGATTCTATGCATTGACGTGGTTCTTTTTTTAGAACATCAGTTTCAACAGTTTCAACAGCAATAATTCAACGACCATCCTCGAGACTTATACAGAATCGAATGCAAATGCAGCATATTATCAGAATTTCTAAAATATATGTTTGTTTTTCGTTTTAATTATGTTCCTTCCATGACATCCATTATCCACATAAATAACAACAAGACAGATTACACGTAGTTGCTATGCCATGACACTAATTTAGGGCATACACATAAACAATACTTTCAGGGGCCCTTTTTTGTCCCAGATTTTTACTGTTTATCTAGTCATTTTCATAAATTGAATAAAACCTATAGCAAGTGGGAAGAATCATTTAATGTATTTTAAAATTCGCTGATTTTGTTACACGGTTAAAAAAATACCACACAGTATGTGTGTTGCCGCTTTGGGCCACCATAAAATGTAAATGAGAGAATATCTGGTTGAGTTAGGTGTCGTGTAGTACTTTGTAAGCCTCCAATAATTCCCAGCCCAGCACTGGTAAGTCTGTCTTTTTTCAAATCTTATATTCATAGTAGCTTCAGTAAATTATATACAGTTTTTCAACAAGTGCTGGCTGGTTTTCATGAATATTTAACTCGAATAAATACAATTTTAAATGTTTTAGATACATGTGATTCACTTTACGTCTTTTAACAAAGTAAAAAAATCATTTATGAGAATTAGATAGCCATGATAACCAGTAATAATGAGTTTAGTGACCTTTTCTTCGATACCATTCGTGTTATATCTGTGGCCATAATCATTGTATAGGTGCGATCGTATCCGTGTATCTTACCTTAGACTTTCTAGAAAACGATGCTTATCTCTTAGATAAAATTGTTATAAATTATGAGTCAAAATGAGTCAAAATGAAAAATGGCGTCGTTTTTAAAGATTGACCAATGAATGACGTCCAGTGTGTAACCATCTAGTGTATAACAAACAATATTAACATTAAGCAATGTATCTATATAGTCGGGAGGGAAGAAACCTCAATTGGTTATGGGAGAAATATTTCTACATTATGCACTGTGATGTCACATTAAGGGAAAAAATAGCCTATGTTTAACGCATTAACTATTTAATAGAAAAACAGAAATACTATAATATGGTCTGCATACTGAACTTTTTTGTAGTTTCGTAAAACAATATGAAAATAAAATAGGGCATGAACCTACCATGAAACGGTATCTCTTAATTAATATGATTTTAAAGCATATCATAGGTATGTAGCTGCATGTTGATGAAAAAAGAAAAGGTTGGTGCTTATCATAAACAATTAAATTACATTTTGTACTGTCTCCCTTTCCCAAAATTATCAGCTATCAAGCATTTTTTATCAATCGTACAAATCAAAGGAAATGTCTTCGAGTCACACTTTAAGCCTCTCCATTGTGGCATAAGTTTAATAATATAGAGGCATGGCCACATCTTTAGTTAATTTGTCAGAGGACAAGAGAGCTGAACATACGACTTGTAAATGGGCAATATTTTTGAAGAGGACAGCTGATTTAAACATTAACGACAAGTTTAAGCAAGTCTAGAAGATAAATAATGTCATCACTAACTTGACCCGATAGTTGAGTGTTGACGTTAGACACAACTTTATAGGACGAGTCGGGGCTAGGGCACAATCCCCAAGTGTGTCACACGCTCAGGTGTCCAAGTCCCGCATCGCCTATAACTACCGTCAACCCAGGTTCTATGGGTATAGTGCTGCCGTTGGGTTGATATATATATATATATATATATATATATATAAGAGGACACCAATGGATAGTTTATATAATATTTATTAACAATGAATACGATGAATTATGTACAAATAATAAGACAACAAGGCTTAACAGACATAACAACTCTTTAACGACACATAACACTACACAGGTTAAACTAAAGATAAAGATATAAACCACCCCTCCCATCCTAACACCTAATCCCTGCTTACTTCTAGTACTACGACGTGGCGCTCTCCGGAAATCAATCCGTCTGACTGCCCTGATCTATAACGAAACATCGTATTTATAACCCCGAGACTTAAAACCCAAGTTGTTTTCCCCTTTCGAGCATGCCCAGAAGTAAAGATCGCGTTCATTTATTTTATTTTGCTGACAAAACGCTATTGAGTACGACATCTTCACTCACCTGAAAATGACCTTTCAGGTGTCAGTGCACCGTCCTGATAGCAGAAAAAATCGCTGGTATGTTGACCCCGATTCTGCACCAGATTTAGTACACTAACATGTTGTGTATAGAGACCCGACCGGTTGGATTGAGACCCATCATTATAACACACCTCCCTTCTTTAAAAACCCAAGTACTTACTAACTTTCTAAAAGCTTACCCACCCAAAACAGTACAGCTTAATATATATATATATATATCCCCGTGTACATTTAAAAAAAGATTACTCAACCGCCAACCAATATAACATAAGAAAATGGAACTGTATACTTCACAACCTTCCCATAGTTACAAAATCACCCGTCTATTTACTGTGGAAAATATATCGAACACATCAGGTATCCCAAATCCCTGGCTAATGGTATAACTACACTACATTATACACAGCCATTCACGCTGCACTCTCACTTTTCCGACTCATACCTAGTCATTCCTCTGACCTATCTTACTCATTACATATACATAGATATATGTGAATAGATAACATGATGATGAATGCTGAGGTAAGTGTCCGGAATGAGAGTGCGGAGTGAATAGCTGTGTATAATGTAGTGTAGTTACATGTTGTAGGCTTTTATTCGCCTGGAATAAACCTATCTTTAGGAGAAGCATTGGAGTTGTTCTTTTACCTCGTCTAATTGTCTACAACTCCGCACTCTCATTCCGGACTCATATCTATTCATTCCTCTCAATTACAATTATTTTTCTATTTATAGATAATAACTGGAATTTCCTATCTATTTTTAAATCCACGTCATGTTCCTGTTCAGTGAAGTATTCCTTATTATAGAACATCAGGTAATCAAAGTATAGCATTTACTGCATAATCTAACTGACTATCAAACCAAACAGAAAAGACGACAAATTTTAATTTGGATATTTTTTCACATTTTCTCTAGAAAATCATCTTTTTCCCCCATTGCTAGGCAAGTCTTTTTAAAGCTGGACAACATTTCTTATGCATGCTAAAGAAATATAGTAATTGAGTGTTTACGGTTTTATGGCATGTATCCGTGCCCTATTTCACATTAACTTGCTGTAACATATGTTTTTCCTCTTTCAGAGTGTTTCACAATATTGTCCGTCAGGTCAACTTGCAAACATTGAAATGTTACTCTAGAAGAGGAAAACGTTTCTAATGAAATCTCGTTATGAGTAATACTTTTATTCTGAAATAAAAACAGGAATTTCCCATCTTTATTTAAATCCATGTAATGATTCTATGCATTGACGTGGTTCTTTTTTTAGAACATCAGGCGATAATCACAGCATAGGATTCGCTGAACAGTTTCAACAGCAATAATTCAACGACCATCCTCGAGACTTATACAGAATCGAATGCAAATGTAGCATATTATCAGAATGTCTAAAATATATGTTTGTTTTTCGTTTTAATTATATTCCTTCCATGACATCCATTATCCATATAAATAACAACAAGACAGATTATACGTAGTTGCTATGCCATGACACTAATTTAGAGCATACACATAAACAATACTTTCAGGGGCCCTTTTTTGTCCCAGATTTTTACAGTTTATCTAGTCATTTTCATAAATTGAATAAAACCTATAGCAAGTGGGAAGAATCATTTAATGTATTTTAAAATTTGCTGATTTTGTTACACGGTTAAAAAAATACCACACAGTATGTGTGTTGCCGCTTTGGGCCACCGTAAAATGTAAATGAGAGAATATCTGGTTGAGTTAGGTGTCGTGTAGTACTTTGTAAGCCTCCAATCATTCCCAGCCCAGCACTGGTAAGTCTGTCTTTTTTCAAATCGTATATTCATAGTAGCTTCAGTAAATTATATACAGTTTTTCAACAAGTGCTGGCTGGTTTTCATGAATATTTAACTCGAATAAATACAATTTTAAATGTTTTAGATACATGTGATTCACTTTACGTCTTTTAACAAAGTAAAAACAATCATTTATGAGAATTAGATAGCCATGATAACCAGTAATAATGAGTTTAGTGACCTTTTCTTCGATACCATTCGTGTTATATCTGTGACCATAACCATTGTATAGGTGCGATCGTATCCGTGTATCTTACCTTAGACTTTCTAGAAAACGATACATATCTCTTAGATAAAATTGTTATAAATTATGAGTCAAAATGAGTCAAAATGAAAGATGGCGTCGTTTTAAAAGATTGACCAATGAATGACGTCCAGTTTGTAACCATCTGGTGTATAACAAACAATATTAACCTTAAGCAATGTATCTATATAGTCGGGAGGGAAGAAACCTCAATTGGTTATGGGAGAAATATTTCTACATTATGTACTGTGATGTCACATTAAGGGAAAAAATAGCCTATGTTTAACGCATTAACTATGTAATAGAAAAACAGAAATATTATTATATGGTCTGCATAATGATTTTTTTTTTGTAGTTTCGTTAAACAATATGAGAATAAAACAGGGCATGAACCTACCATGAAACGGTATCTCTTAATCAATATGATTTTAACGCATATCATAGGTATGTAGCTGCATGTTGATGAAAAAGAAAAGGTTGATGCTTATCACAAACAATTAAATTACATTTTGTACTGTCTCCCTTTCCCAAAATTATCAGCTATCAAGCATCTTTTATCAATCGTACAAATCAAAGGAAAATGTCTTCGAGTCACACTTTAAGCCTCTCCATTGTGGCATAAGGTTAATAATATAGAGACAAGGCCACATCTTTAGTTAATTTGTCAGAGGACAAGAGAGCTGAACATACGACTTGTAAATGGGCAATATTTTTGAAGAGGACAGCTGATTTAAACATTAACGACAAATTTAAGCAAGTCTAGAAGATAAATAATGTCATCACTAACTTGACCCGATAGTTGAGTGTTGAAGTTAGACACAACTTTATAGGACGAGTCGGGGCTAGGGCACAATCCCCAAGTGTGTCACAAGCTCAGGTGTCCAAGTCCCGCATCGCCTATAACTACCGTCAACCCAGGTTCTAAGGGTATAGTGCTGCCGTTGGGTTGATATATATATATATATAAGAGGACACCAATGGATGGTTTCTATAATATTTATTAACAATGAATACGATGAAATATGTACAAATGGTAAGACAACAAGGCTTAACAGACATAACAACTCTTTAACGACACATAACACTACACAGGTTAAACTAAAGATAAAGATATAAACCACCCCCTCCCATCCTAACACCTAATCCCTGCTTACTTCTAGTACTACGACGTGGCGCTCTCCGGAAATCAATCCGTCTGACTGCCCTGATCTATAACGAAATATCGTATTTATAACCCCGAGACTTAAAACCCAAGTTGTTTTTCCCTTTCGAGCATGCCCGGAAATAAAGATCGCGTTCATTTATTTTGCTGACAAAACGCTATTGAGTACGACATCTTCACTCACCCGAAAATGACCTTTCAGGTCTCAGTGCACCGTCCTGATAGCAGAAAAAATCGCTGGTATGTTGACCCCGATTCTGCACCAGATTTAGTACACTAACAAGTTGTGTATAGCGACCCGACCGGTTGGATTGAGACCCATCATTATAACACACCTCCCTTCTTTAAAAAACCCAAGTACTTACTAATGTTCTAAAAGCTTACCCACCCAAAACAGTACAGCTTAATATATATATATCCTCCGATACATTTAAAAAAAGATGACTCAACCGCCAACCAACATAACATAAGAAAATGGAACTGTATACTTCACAACCTTTCCATAGTTACAAAATCACCCGTCTATTTACTGTGGAAAATATATCGAACCCATCAGGTATCCCAAATCCCTTGCTAATGGTAGTTTCCTTATGCCTATTTACTAGCAATATAAGGTTTACAAAAAAATGGTCACAATTGCCTGCTACATATTCATGTAGACAATTGGACGAGGTAAAAGAAATACAACTCCAATGCTTCCCTTAAAGATAGGTTTATTCCAGGCGAAGGGAAGCCTACAACATGTAACTACACTACATTATACACAGCCATTCACTCCGCACTCTCATTCCCGTCACTACTTCTGTCCATATGGCCCTCAGGTCCTGGTCATCAACCATCCTGAAACAATATTTAGCACATTTTTTGTTCCAGGTTAGATTAAATTATATACAATTATCATATATATCTAACAAAATACCACAATTTTTAAAACTATCAGATAGACCCTATTCCTATAGAATTTTATTGGGATAATATAACTTTCGGTTTAACAACTATTCCTGCTCTAGTTCTAACATACACTTCTCCTCGGCTGTTTCTACAGTCCATTTCCCCAGAAGTGTCAGGAAGGCCTGAGATGGGGAAGCCCTCCGTCTGAGGGTCAGGGACAGCTGTCCCTTCGACCCAATAGTCAGGCACAGATAATCCTTCATACGGCTTTGTATGGTCAACATGTTTATTGATTTTCCTTTCCCCAGGGGACTGCTGACCCAGTAGAAACGTCTCTATACCAAATCTATGGTCTTATCACTACCCAGATGACCCCCCACTCTGGTGTTGTATAAATAACCTAAAATCTCCTCTCTGATTTGTTTTGGAGCTACAATGCGTCTCGAACCACCTTCTCCTTGAACACACAGCAGACCCTCCAAGAACACCAACTGATCCCATAACTGACCATACACTCTGACCGCGTATGGATAAGGACTCATTTCTTTCCTCCTAGGTTTACTTGGTAAGTTTGATTTCAAATTCCTTACTTGTCTGACTATCTTATCTTGTTCTTGCCATTGCTTCAACTGGTCCATGGTCCAACCCCCAACTTTCAACCCAATTACTCTCAACTTGATAGAGTCCCCCCCCNTCGTGGGGGTCTCTCCCGAGTTGCTCTCTCCAACCAGATAAGTGAGGCCTGATCTGTTCTCACTATAAACCTCTTACCTAACAGGAAATGATTGAAATGTTTGAGAAAGGTTACAAGTGCAACTAACTCTTTTTGTGTTTTACAATAGTTTTGTTGCTCCCGATTTAGAGTTTTGCTGGTATACGCTATCACCACTTCATCTGCCCCTTGTAATTGTGACAGAACATCTCCTACCCCTGTGTTACTTGCATCAGTGTCCAATATAAAAGTATTATCGGGATAAGCCAAAATAGGTGCTACATTGTATTGTTAACCGTCCGTTCAGTTCATTGAACGCCTGGGTACCCGCTTCTCCCACTTAAACCTTTTGCTCTTTTTGGTTAGTGCTACCAACAGGGAGACAACTGTGTAAAAGTCGTGAATGAAACGGCGGTAATATCCAAAAAGCTTCTAACCTCGGAACGTTTTTCTGGCTGCGGCCACTCCGCCACTGCTCTGACTTTCTTCGGGTTACAGCTCATACCAGCTTCTGACACTACATGTCCGAGATATTCTTCTTCGGTTTGAAATAAACTGCAATTCATGGGATCGACGTATCTCAAACAGATCTTCTACACTGGGCGCGCATAAAAAAACACATGTGGAGACTGGAAAAATCATTTTCAACTTAGCACAGATGTTATTAATTATAATTTCCAACTATATTTGCTATTATTTGTTGGCGTTGACATTTCACTTGATCAATAAAGGTGGCCTTCAAGTGAACAGTTGATGTCACACACATACACTAAAATATAAAAAATTAAACAACGCTATCATATTATTTAATTTTTAATTTCAGTTTTTAATGCTAACTTATCGAGAAATGAAAGACTCTATGCAATCTGTCAAATATTTTCACATAAGATGAAAGTGCACTTTGTAGCTCAATCGTTTTAGTGTAAAAAGGCATTGTGACACCAAATAAGAATGTATCAATATGTACAACATCATATATAGATATGTTTTAAAACATGAATAGTCTGAAATCAGGATGAGAGAGAGAGAGAGAGAGAGAGAGAGAGAGAGAGAGAGAGAGAGAGAGAGAGAGAGAGAGAGTATGAAATGATACATTTGAATAATAATATAAATAATAAACTTATAATACGTAAATGTAACCAAACGCAGTTATACAGGTAAGGGCGGAAGTAAAGAAATAAGTTGAAATAAATGTATTTTATATTACATACTCTTTATATCTATATACATATACAGTGTCATATCTCTTGGCGTTTGAAAAAAAACTCTGGCAAGAGAACAAAGATCTTTAATCAATAAAGACCAATTAGTAAATCAATAGTTTGTAGTGCCAATACCATACTCCTGGGTATTAGTTTTACGATTTAAAAAATTGATTACAAATTTTGTCACATTCGAAAAACAACACCGCCATCATGTAGAGAGTGCATCATGATTGCGACAATTTTTGTTTGAATCATATCACAGCATGAAAATACAAATACAAATATTTAATATGTACATTGCATGATTAATTGAACGTATATGTATCAAAAATACAAGTGGAATGTTTTTTCCAGAAATAACTCCTTTTCGCGTAACTGGGTCAAAAAGAGTTTCCTGTGTCCACCTTGATCACCAGAAAGATGGTGTCATCCCGGTGTCCTGAAGCTGGTATATCTCGCTTGAAAGTCTCCGACACATTTTGTGTTTTCGTGTCCTAGTCCAACAGCATCAGCCTCACGTCCTGCTGGAATGGCCACGGCACAAAATCGTCGTATACTCCCTTCAAAATAACAAAGAAGAATGATAAGTGTGATCCAAGTCCCTTTCCGTCTCCGTTATGATGAATACGCCCGCACAACTTGTATCCTGAACGACTTGTGTAAAATGGCTTACTCAAAAGACACGTTTTGCCGCTTTTTACATTCTGCATTAATTGCCTATAGGTCCTGATTTTCCACCTCAACATTCCTTCGGGATTTTGCGGATTCTAATATTTGCAGACGAAGATCAATCTCAGATAACCGTATATTCATATCAGATATTGATTTTGAATTTGTTCCGGTTGCTGAAAAAAACAAGTTGATAAGATATTTACAAAACAAAAGAAAATAAAACAAAAAATGGATCTGGTTATGCCAATAATGCAACAGTTGGTGTCATAATAATAGTTTACTATAAAAAAGGTGTTCATATCTCCAAATCCTGCATTTGATTCCATCATATTGATATAAGAAGGTTGCTTACATGTATATGTTAATTTAAGTTTTATACTAGTAACATGTAAAATAGTAATACTCTGCGAAATAATTAATTTCACAATTTCTGGTGAATGAATGTTGAGTTATTGGATGACATTGTATATGAGTGTCTATTACATCTACAGCAGAAATGTGGTTACTATATTTGCTTTCAAGTTTTGGGGATAATTGTTTAATAATTCCTTGGATGAAACTACAGAACATACTGTTTCATTACAAATTAGCTATATTTCGTGCATTGTGTTAAGAAAACATTTAATGTTATCCTCTTGTAAAAATTGTCCAAAAAAAAAATGTTGAGCATAATATTTACAGATACTGTTTAAAAAATAAAAGTATTTCCATGTAACATCTTGTGTATAATTCTGTATAATTTACCTTCTTCGATGATGCCTTGTAATTGCTTGTTGTGTTCATGAATTTCCGCACAAGCATCACAGGTCTTTTCCCGATTTTGTTTGATTGCCTGAAATTGTAACAACCAGTTAGCGAATTCTGAACACAAATGGATTTCGCCAACAAATTAAGTAACATCGTGTTTCATGTTACAAATTCATCAGAAAGGGTGTACCCTCTAGGGTTGAGAACAAGGAGACTTTGTTTTAAATAATTCAACCTCTTCTGCATTATGGCGTTCCTCAAATCCAGAGACTAGACGCTTCTAGGTGAGATGAGGTATTTCTGATACAATCTATGTAGTTTTACGGAGAATACAAATACATTTAACTTTAATTATGTATCTGTATGTACAACCAAACCTTTCAGATGGATATTTCATTGTCGTATTTCTCGTGATTATTATGCGATACATTTTACACACAAACATATAGATGACTTAACACGCAGACAATCATTACTTTTACTAAGGTTTGGGTTTAACACGTTAAACAAAGTAAAAGGAAAGCAACCCTGTTATTAGTAGTGTACGCTTTGTTGTCTTGATTATGACATTGTGTACCTTGTGGTATTCATCAGTTTGTGATACTCTCTGCGAAGCATGGTCACTAATTAGTAGAACTGAATCTCTGTGGTTTTCGGATAACTCTTCGGTAGCTTTCTAAATGAAGATTGATGAAATTGGATATTTAAATGTGATACAGTGTACATTATAATGTATAACAGCTTCAAACCGATACAGCATACACTTTCAATACAAACTGAAAGAGTGACAGATTTCCAGAATATAGACTACATGTGATAAGTGCTATTGAAACTTGGTCTGTCTTTTATTCCTTTGTTAAGCCAAGATAAACTACTCTTTGTCAGATACGTACCATTCGACATATATGACTATCCATATCCATCCGTTTCATAAGCGTATTGCACTTCTCACAAATACCCTCACAGCGCATCATGTGGCTCTATTAAAATAAGTCAGGAAAAAAAAACCAATAAAATATAACCCAAATCACGCACGTACAAAGTCATTTGTATGTCATCTGCATGCGGAAAAAAACATCCGATGATTACTTTACCATTATATTAATACGTGTGGTATGACCATGCTATCTATCATTTTGTATCATGAAAATAAATATGACTATCTGGATTTGTAATTAATATACTACTTGTGCTATTGAATACCTTCGAACAAATCTTAAGTCGTTATGAGGGGCATGCCTATATATATGTAAGTATAATCATCGTAGCTATGTTAAATTCAGAGATTTAATAAACGTATTGACATTTGTTTAATTATTTTCAACCCACCCTCTATATGGTTTATGGTGATAACATCCCTTTTAAACGGGTATTGCTATTTTAGTAGAAAGACATAATTTGGATAAAAATATGTGATAGTTAATTGCACTAACTTAACATTTTGTTTATGACATTATAATTGATAGACAGATGCAATCTAACGTCAGGCTATTGAAGGCAATAATTGTTTTGTAAAACAACAAGATACAAAACAAATTCACACATTACTAAAAGTTGCACCTCCATATCTTTCCAATTGATAACTGCATCACATCCTAGATGCTTGAAACTGCAGTACACCATTTGCTGTTCAATGTTTCTCACCAGTTCCTTATCCTGGAAAACCTTAAATATAACAAATTATTTCATCAATTGAAATCCTTTGACTAAAACGTTAAAAAAACAAAATATTATAATTTGTTTAGTGAATTTTGCTGCATTCTTTAATAAGGTAATGACATGAAAATAGACTGTATTGTTGTTTAAATGAGAATTTTTATGAAACATTTGTCCAAAACATAAACCTCGACTTCCTCAAATACCGATTATGGGGTCCGAGGGAAATTGTACCTAAATAATAAAGTATCACATGGTGGATGTCTAATGTTCTTACAGACAATTCATGTATTACACACGGATATATAACATTGAACTGTTTCTTACCTGTGTCTTGCAATTAATTTGAGTATTGCAATCTTTGTATTTGCAAATTGTATCACCACTTTTTTGAAATAGAGTTATTTTGCACTTATCACAGATGATATGACCACATATGAGTCGCCACATATCAATCGACGCATTTTTACACATAACACACAGAAGCTCTCCATTGACGAACAGTGGTTTAGTCGACTTCTCCAATCTGTTTTCGGTCATAGTCATGCCAGTCACTGCAAATAAGGAAAAAACATGTATCGGAATTAAAGACAGTTTTAACGTAACTTTTAAGCGATTTATTGACGTGCACCGAGTTAGATAATGTTTTTCTGTAGCTTGTATCCGCTGTACTATACAGAGTTTCATTTCAAGAAGCTGAGATCAGAATGAAGTTCCATGATTTGACAAGGCTTACAAGGACTCGAATCGAGTTTATCCGACATGGTATCAAACTCCTTTATTTCCTTTATAAGTCGAGTAAATTTTTAATGTATGAAATAGACTTTTATCCATTGATACTTTACACTCATAAACCACCATTGCCTCTTAAATGATTGCTAGGTTGAAGAGAATCCCATGTTAAAAGGAAACATCTTCCTTTTAGAGCTATTTTCAGAAACATCTCCCCCTCATACACTTCAATCCGTTTGTTCATTTTACAAGAATCTATAAAATGTGTATCTTCTACATTATCTAGTGCATTAAACTTGCTCATGCATAATAAAAAGTTATTTTGCCATCCACATTTAGACTTGAAACAGTATTGTTGTGGCCCATTCTAATAATAGTGGTACATGTATATTAAAAAAAAATTATGAACAAATGTAACCAAGTACTCCAGTATAAAATATGGTTAAGTAAATGTTGAAAAGAAAAGATACTTATCTCCATATGAAAAAAACCCAATTATGATACGAATGTCAAATAATTAATAAGGTAAAAAAGACCAATGCAAACAAATTGTTAACACTTAACAAATCTTACCTGCGTCCTGAGTTAAATTAACCTAAAACTCAATAAGATATTGGAGATTCGTATCATACGTTTACTTGTTCATATAGAGATTAGTATACATTGTTTTATATGCATGTACTACTATTATTTGAATGATTCACAACACTTGTTCGTTTTACAATGAACGAGTTCCACGTTATCTAGTTATCAATCGGGCTCATACATATTCATGTATGTTATTTTCTTTTGTCATTCACATTTTAACTTAAAAAGATTTTGTTGTGATCCATGAAATAATTGCTGTAACTATATAGTAAAACATTATCATGAACAAATGTCCAACCTAGATATTGTATAACCAAGTATTCCAAATATCATATTTGCTGAAGGAAATGTAGCTAACAAATGTCAAATATTTTATTAGACAGAAAAAAATCAATGCATACAAATTTTAAACTCTAAACAATTCTTACCTGCGTCACGAATGAATTAAATCACGGATGATATGTTCGCATATGGACTGCCATACGTTCGGCGTCATGCTATTACTCAAACATCACAGACAGACAGGGTGTTATTCCTTGTGATATGTATCAGCCTATGGTAGTGTTATGTCTGTATTCCTTGTGAAAAAACGCGTGCGTTACATATACTATAGTGTATTTATGGGAAAACCAAACTACATGGTCCTATTTGGTGACCTGAATTTAAGTCGGACGCAAGGTTATTTATAGCGTCTGCCTTATACATATGATAACACTTGTTACATGGAGACAATATAAGGCAAGCAGTTTAAATTCCCAACTCTAAATCGAAAGAAAAATATTAATTTGTTTTTCTCTATCAGTAAGAAGAAAATGTCGGGAGAATACAGTTGTTATTAGCTACCATAATTTAGTTTGTAGTAATGTAGTATAGATGTTAGTGTAACATATCGCATCATTACAGAAATGTTGTTTTATTTATTGAAGTATCACTTATTAGTGAAATACGAATCAGTTTTCTCCAATAACTGTGTTTACGTAAACAGTTTCAATGTGTTTCTGTAAAATTTTACCTACGTCAGTGTTCAATGTAGTGTAGTTGGGAATTCCAACTACATGGTCCTGTCGTATGACCCACACGGCTATTTATAGCGTCTGACTCAAATAATAGAACTTTAGGCTTGACGCCCGCCTGTTGTTACATGGAGATAAAATTAGACTAGCAAATGTGATTTCCCCACTCGTAATCGAAAGAAAAATATAAATCTCACACAACCTTAAATGATCATTGTTATTCTCTATCAGTAAGAAGGAAATTGTGGGGAAAACACAGTTGTTAAACAAGGACAGTGAAACATATAGTTTGTTTATTGCATTGTTGTATATTCTAAAACATGAAGATTGTAATTTGATCTGATTAAATTGCATTACTTTGGAGATGAATTTGACTTGGAAAATTAACTGGCGGACGGCAGAACCAAGGACGTTTTAACACGCATATTTCATACCTTGAAAAGTGCAATAAACTGAAAAAATGGCATTATTTTAAAAACATGCGCAACTATCTGCTATCAATTTATATACATACCCACTAAGATTTCGTTGTGCTATTTTTATGTACGACCTGTGTGTATTAGCGTTTGTCCGCGTTGGTATAACCCAGCTGATCTACAGGAAGAAGGTAAGTCACCATGTTGGTATGGTGTAAGGACACACCTCAATTCACATGACCGTTACACTTCTGACTCCGTTTTCAAAGTATGTATCGTTTATTATTAGTCTGATCCATAATTTGTTACATGGGACATATTTATCTTTCAATAAATATCACCGTTTACCAATGCCGTCAATGTAAATACTTCCTTCGACTTACGCTAATCGAGAAACTTATTCCTATTGCAGGCCTCAGATCACAATTAAATCTACGATATGTTACTACCAAAGGAAAAATTAAATTAAATTATTTTAAAACTTTTCGCAGGGTCTGGTTCCTATTTCATATTGTAGGAACATACAGTGAGCTGGAAAGTACCTCATGACCGGCATTTAAGAAAGATAATTTCATTTGAATGTTACTACCCTGCATGTATAGGGGAAAATACCAAAAATCACAAAATACTCATAGATCAGACAGGAAAAAATATTTAGTAGCCCACCTGAAGTGTCCTTATGCACTACATTCGTGTACAACGACCCGGAAGTGTAATTGTGGTCTGAGGCCTGTTTTTTGTATTTTGTTGAATGTAATGTCGTTTTAAAATGAAAATAAAGTCGACTTTTTATAATAATTATGTCGTCATAATGATTGAGCAGACTAATTTGACACAAATGGCTTAGTATGATTCAACGTGATCGCTCAGAGATAAATCCTCTTGTACAGTTTCAGATATCTATAAAACGTTCGCAATAAATATCAATTGGTAATCATACCACGCTTAGGTTTCAGTTGTCCGCTAGTTATATTTTCAAAGCCACACTTTACACCAAATTTATACGATTTGTCCAGGTCTAACTGCAATCCCCATGCCTTAAAATATACAACAAAATTAACTAACTGTACTGAAATATGAGTTATTGTCTTCACTGCTCTGTTTTGTTCTTCTATATCATTTCCGATATTTCTTAAGTATTGATAGAGAGAAAAAAGGAACATTTAAGGAACAAAAGTTTGTTTGAGATTAATATTTTTCTTTCGATTCAGAGTAGGAAGTTACATTAAACAAAACAAGTCTAATTTTAACTCCACGTAAATGGCTGACGTCAATCATAAAGGTTTAGTTTATCACATGAGTCAGACGCTATTAATAGATTTGTATGCTTTTATATTAGAGCTTATAACCATATCGAATTAATTATTACAATATATTCGAGATTATTATCATGATAATATTCGATAAGATATAAGGCATTTATATGTGTTCTGGTCAATACAATCAATACAATTGTAAGTACATGTTACTCACAGTATGCTCAGTATCAACCAAACATTGAAGGATTAGGGTCATCATAATTTAGATTTAGGGTAACGATCATGTTATGACAATACGTTATACTAAACACAATGTTTAAGCGAAATTAAGATTAAATAGCCAATTGCAATGTGTATGAAGCTGTGAAATAAGATATACTTACGTCTTGTGTACATAGATAAACAGTAAAGGTAAAGTTAATATTATAGAAAAAAAATGGAAAACATATACAGAATGCGTTGGATAATTAGCAGAAAGTTGCAATATATGTAATGTTTAGATTATTGAGATCATTACAATGCATGATAAATTCGAATTTCAGAGACTAATTTATATCAGTAAAGTAAAAAGTTCAGATACAAAAAATGTGACGTTTGAATACAAGTTCAATTTTCCGCGTCTTCGATGTATCGACACACTTCAGTAGTTAATAACTATATAGTATTGGACGATCGACAATGCCGTGCATGTATTATTTTCCTACAGTCCAACACTCCCCCAAAAAACTCTCATTCAGTTATAAACAAGCGAGCGCGGCACTGGTTTGCCGAAGGAGGGTACAGGCATTTAATGTTGTATATATTTGACGATTTGGTAGCGGACGTACAGAGAAAGAGTTTCTAATAAACCTTTAGATGTATTTTACACCTATCAAACTCGCGGTCAGCATGTTTTGCCGAACTTACCGCGAAAGTGACATGAACAAGTGTTTTTTTATATGTCAAATGCTACATGTAACAAAACATCCTTCCAAAATATATCCATACAACTGTAAATAGACAGAAATAGGACAACTGCCCACTGGGTCAATATTAGTTTTGTTTTGAAATGAATAAAGGCATCTCGCTCAAAAGAACAGCATTATCTGATTAAAACAATTACCTAGCTCATTTGGATTATTAAAGGCGTATGGACACTGAAGTAGCCGCAAAATAGTGTTCATTTCATTTATGTGGTAGAATAGATATATAATCAACATATGATTGTATCTAATTGGTGGCAAATATAACTCGGGATGTTGGGATTATAATCAATTCAGGGCACAATCGCGATTTGTAAAGAATTTGTTTCCAAACATTTTCTCACCATCGTTATGTATCCCGCGATAAAACACGCATATATATTGATTATGTTTTCGAATTTAAGGCACAATTAGTTCAAGGATTAGTACGGGTGCGAATCACCTTACATTGTTACTTATTGCATCCATTCGTTTTTTGTTTGAATTCAAAATATTGCATTTCCTCTGTCAATTTTTTTCAGAAATATATATAGGGCTGCCAGGGTTAGGGAGCGCCTAATATGTATCTTGCAGCTTCTTTGTTGTTTTTGGTTCGTTATGAACAATGAAATTTGCATCATACATACACGTATGTAACAAATAACGACTGGAAAACGCAAATGAGTAAAATGTAAATAAAAAATGAGTTGCGGCATCAAAATTCATTTTCTGTAGCTATGAGGTATAAAATCAGTCAACCGTCGGATTTAATTTGTACAATGAAATGGTAAAGAAAGTAACATTGTAACTAAAACAATAACCAACAACAGGACATATTGATCGTAAGTTTCATTTTGATTGATACATTGTTCTCACAGCAGATATTGTGCAAACATTGTACCATTTTGTACAACATATATTTATGTACACAAATAACAGTACCATGTGTTATCAAACCTTTAATGCTATGTTCACTAAGCCGATATAACAGTTAGGGTAATATATACCATATTGTCCGTTTTTATCTTTCGGTACAACGATAGATTAACACATACATGTAGTGTGTGTAGGGTTTGTCGTGAGAGCAATTTCCTCATTGCAACCATGTGAATAAAATCGAGACGCACTGATAATACAGTGTGTTGTAAATTGTATCATCTATATACAAATTCCTTATATATTTCTCCATTCATAAAAAGTCAACTAAATACCATATATTTCAATGACAAACATAAACAAAGAGAAGTTATGTGGGGAGGAATAACGTAAACCTAAGAAGAAGGTAGAAAAAGCTTTTCAACACAAGATAATGGCTACCATAATATAATATGTAGTAATGTAGCATAGAGGTTAATGTAAAATATCGCATCATTATAAAATGTATTTTTTTTTACTGAAGTATCACTTATTAGTGTAATACGAAACTTTGTTCACGTATACAATTTCAACGTGTTTCTGTAAAATCCTAGCAATTGTAGTAGAGAAATTGCGTAATCTGCTTCCCCGAGGTTGATCTTGAAACTCACTTGATCAAATGATCATGTTTCAATACAGAAAGGCTATAAATACTTGATGATGTCGCAACAGAACAATTACACAATAGTGATGTTTATCAAGACCACTCTAAATCATCAGACACGCTGTAACATAAATGAAAATATCTGAGTAATAAAAGAACAATTTTCAAAATGGAACCGTATGATAAACTTTTTTGACATACTATCTTTTTCCATACATCTAAGTCTAAACGAAGGTGTCAGTTAGGGCAAATATTCCAAGGCATAGAGTCGCGTTTGCTGTTTTCTACCTCGGTAGGTAAAACGAGGACACGTAGTAGGTATGTAAAATGTTTAGTATGAATAGGACAAATGACTTATCAGGTCTGTTTTTATTGTGTTGAATTATAATAGCTAAATCCGAAGCATTATTATTTCTAAATTACTTAATACTGGCGCTATTTTTGTCTTGCGTAAACAATGCATCAAGTTATGTTTCAAAATAGTTCATCATCAAAAAAGATAACATGTTTAATTCAACATATTTATATAAAGGTTATCCTATCGTTAAACAAAATCACTATATTCTTAATTGGATTCTGATAAACAATTAGTCCAAAGCCATCTTCTCCCTGTTTTACATTAAAAATCATCTCTCGATTTCATAATCAAAAATTAATAATGTAACATGTGTTATTTTGTCATATCATTTTGTACTGTTTAGCAGGTGCATTAACGCCAAAAATGAAAAAGAGGATAATAATCTAAGAGTGTTTTCAGAAATACCAAGTATTTGCTATAACTGAAACCACTGTTAGACATTCTGTTTATTACATTATTTTACGAAAACCTACCCCGGGAAGAAAGCGACAAATCAAGCTGACAATTCTTAATCCGGAGTTTTTTACCACTAGCATATCTAGACAACCATACGCGACAAATACAGTCCTCTTTCTGCACATATTTTAATAAAATGTATAAACTCATAATTATTTCATAAAAGCCACGTCATATACACTCAGATCACAATGTGATGTTAATAAGCGCCAAATCTAAAATGAGGGGGAGTGGGAAAACATGCAGAGTTGTCGTATCACCACTCATCATGAGAATCAAATATCAACACCAATGTAAGTTATAATTATTCACTACCACTGTCAGAGTGTCCCTGGTTCACTTATATTTTCTGGCAATCGCTTAGCCTTACTTTGGACTTGATGACGCTGACACCATATTTTATTTGACATGTGTTTCCTCCGATCAAACAGTTAGAATTGCTGACCTGCATAGTCTGCTGGCTTTCTTAAAATGAAAGTTAACTACGAAATGAATTGTTCTGTTTCCACCAGAGAATAATTCCCAATGATAGGTAACATGTCATTACTCTAGGCAGTAAAACTGGGCTGATGTCTCAAACGGATTTTCACGAGGCCTGTGTAACGTAAAGCTAACCAGGCATTGACCCTGCGCCTCTTGCAATTTCTCTCATGGTATTTTGTTATTCACATTACGGTCAGCTCACTGATGTATACTGTTACAAAGTAAATCACACATACATGATTTAATGTACTTTAAATGACATTTCAATACTTAAAGACGTGATCGATTCCTTGTTGAATTATATTGTAAAGTGGCAAAGTTCGAAAGATCATCCGTCTATATCAGTTTGCCTTATATCATTGTATCATGTATTCTTTTCTCGAAATTGTCAAGGAATGAAATGGACTATACTGTATGACTGTATATATTTTGTCGAAATAGATTTTGACCTGCCGAATCGCAAAATAAATCTCCACTGAATTTACCCTCTATATACGGAATTTGTCATATGAATTGTCAAAGAGACAGCGATAGAAAAAATATGCTTTGAATGTGTAAATCAGCATATAACTCAAAACTTCAACCAAAAATTGTTCAGCAAAACCATATTCAATGGAGCCCATAAACTAAATTGGTTATTCCTTTCTTTTAGTTACTATTAAAGTACTAGAATTCAATATTGATATGTATAACTAGAGCTGACTGGTCATAAAAAAGGAAGAAAAACGATAAAGCTTGATCAATATTACATTTATAGGTGTCCCTTTCAACTTTTGAATTTCATATTTGACCGTAATATTTTGTAATCCTTTGAACACGTTTTGGTGCGTTTCACTAAACAATAAAACACGTATCCTGTTAATAATAGTGGGTAGAACATACTACAAATCAATGGTGGCTAATATGATTGGACCTCCTACACAATAAATACTTGTCATCACAGACAAATCTTTTTACGAACTAGTCTAGCACTGCTGATACAAAATGTTGTTTAGGTTCCATTAAATTTTCACAAAAAGTAAATTTACTGCTGGAGCAACTCGCCTAATTACAACAATTTTCCAGTGTATCAAACAATACATGCATTTGCTTGTTAAGCTATTTATCTCACATTCTGGTGATACCACGAAGGTCATACTTGTAAGTCGAAGTCACCACATGAGTAACCGGCTAAGATAAACTAACACTGCAATCGAATATGATGATTGAAGAATAATTGTATTAAATATTTCTGCTGTTTCAGGTCCTTCATATGACCACAAAGAAATAAAACTACCATCGTTTTATTTGAAAATAGTCAAAACGGAGCTCCTTACCAAGCCACTACATCTCAAACCTCGCACAGTTAAGGAAGAGCCGAATCCACGTAAACACTGGTACAATTTATTGCGACTACGTACGGTATTAGGTCTTCTCTGTTGTGCTCAGGCGTGGGGACCATTCGATTGACTGAAACAGCACTTTGATACGAATCGTATCAGGTACTTATAAAATAAATTCAATGGCTTCAGTGTCTATCGAGATCAGCACTAGTCTCAGTTACAGTTCGCGTCAGTCAATGATTACCAACCCTGACCCAGATCAGACGAATCCACGCTTTGTAGAGAATGAGGAAAAGATTGAACTATGTACGGCGTGTCAAAAAACTCTCTGGAATGCCTTTCAGCTACCCTGCGGTCACCATGTATGTCCTAACGGCTTGAAACGAGTTCACGAAAAAGGTCGATGCATGGTGTCCGACTGTAAAACTCCTTGCAGTGAAAATGAGGTAGGCGTATAATTTACCTATCCGAATTATTTCAATCATTAAGAGTGGTAAATTAAGTCAATTTATAAAAACTTTTACAAGCAAGCAAATGTAGAATGCATTTAGGATGCTATTTTAGGACTGAATTTTATAAATTAATTCATATTTTCTAGGTTATTTATATTACGTTACATGTAAACAGCTCATTTGATATGTTAAATATGGTCCTGTGTATATCCAGATATTCCCAGACGCCTGTAAACGAAGGGAAGTTGCAAGTTTGAAGGTAGAGTGTGGTCATGAAGGTTGCAAGAAAATAGTGAAGTGGGGTGATCTAGAGGTAAGTTTTGCTGATAACCGGTACAGACCTATCTCGCTGAAATGAATTCTAAAAATGACACATAATAATAATTATAATAATATACAACATTTATATAGCGCTCTATATAATTTGTAAAATTACTCTAAAGTGCTTTAAAACATATGGAAAATAGTAATAGTTATAATTGTGAAACAAAAACAAAGGCTCACAATCACTTTTATACATTTAAGAAAGCAATGTGCAATAATTGAACAAATAAAGGGTGGTATTTACATGACGTTTTTGCAAGGATTCTAAAATGCAGACGTGGAGAGGTGAGTTTTGATGTACCTCTTGAATTTGGCCAGGGTATTTTACTTTCCAATAGCAGATGGTAAGCTATTCCACAACGTGGCCGAAACCCTCCCAAAGCACCTGTTTCCGTAGGTCACAGTACGAGATTCTGGGACACACAACAAAGATTCTGACTCAGCGACCGCAGTGATCGTGACTGCTGATACAGGGTAGCAAGCTGTTCAATTCGGTGCCTTGTATGTGTACACCAGAATTTTGTACTGCGACTTGTATCGTACAGAAAACCAGTGTAACGAATATAGCAAATGTGTGATGTGCTCTCTCTTTCGAGTACGAGTAGCCAGCCGTGCTGCAGTGTTCTGGACCTTCTGCAGACGACTAGTTAGTTTGTCAGATATACCACAGACCAGGGCGTTACCATAATCCAACCGAGAGGTAACAAGTGAATGCACCAAAATCTTGCATGCATCTGCAGTTATAAACTGCCGAATACAACCGATGTTCCTGTCTGGTAGTAACAGGATTTGGCAATAGCGTTCACTTGTTCCTCCATGCTCAGTGAACTATCAAAGTATACCCCTAGGTTTTTACCAGCTAGGACAGTCTCAATAGTTCAGGGGCCGACCTTGAGCTAGAGAGCCATTTTTTGCTGACACTTTGGGGAAAAAACGATTAGTTCCGTCTTTTCCTGATTAAGCTTTAGCATGTTGGCGTGCATCAAGGTACTGATATCTGTCATACAAGCTTCCAGACTTTCTGAAACTGTATTCCAACTGCCCTGTGGTTTTCTGACCATGTACATTTGTGTGTCATCGGCATAGCAATGATGGCGAAAGCTATGGCGACGACAAATCTCTCTAATCGGTTTGGAGTACAGGCAGTATTTTCGTGGTCCTAACACCGACCCTTTAGGAACCCCGAAATCTAGTACTTTGTCAAGTGAGGTGAAAGATCCGATGGCAACACACTGTCGCCGTTCACTTAGATAAGACTGTATCCAGCATAGTGCGGTATCAGTCAGTCCATAAGAGTATTCCAGACGTTTATAAAGTATGCCATGGTCGATGACGTCAATTGCAGCTGACAAGTCCAGCATGACTAGCACCGTTCTGCACTTGTTATCCAATGCAGAAGCGATGTCATTATGTACACGTAGGAGGGCCGTCTCAGTAGAGTCCCATGCGGTAGGCCGATTGCACATACTGTACAAAATCATTCCTGCATCGAGTCGCTGGACCAAAAAACATTGAAACAATGTATATCCCGAGGTCTATAGATTTGTATAGCTATAACTCTTCATATGATTTAAGAGCCATGAAGGGACTTGCGATTATAGAAAGGTGCAATGTGATCATTGCCGTGATTCGGTCAAGGTGTGTTCCATGCAGAAACACAAGGATGAGAAATGTGAACAGAGAAGGGTTGAGTGTCCAAAGAAATGTGGAGTGTGGACAGCAGCCATCAGCATAGAGGTAGGTGGATAGCCATATACAATATCATACAAAGAACATAGTCATAGAAACGATCCTGTGACCAGTAACCGATATGTTTGATGTTATTATATAAAAAGAATAGTTTACAGATAGGATAGGATGTCAACCTGATGGAACTGGTACAACACCTGTATTATCAGTTTATAATACTGTCGAAATTGCACACGTATCGTATAAGGTTACCTGTACATGCATGGTCTGGAATTTATAACAAATGGAAATGACGATACTTAGCACAGGTGAATTCATATCCATATACAAATATCAATATATTACCTTCTTTCAAGAGGGTTGTCATTTTTAAAAGGTCAAGGTTGTTGAAAACAGTATATGTTACGCTATAAACTGGTAAAGTTCATAATACGATGTTAGTTAAAATATCAATATCTTTAACAAGCATACATTATTTTTCTTAAGAACCATCTGAAGGAAGAATGCCTGAGGGTCACTCTGAGATGTCCGAATGAATGTGGGATAGAACCACTGCAAAGAGAAAAGGTAAAAGGAAATTCATTCAAATCCACGTGCTTTGGAAAATAAATGCCTTGCTCCTTAGTTTCATGTGAAGTACGCCTGCACAAAAGCAAACATGTTTCCTTTAAATGAAATCATTGGATCGGTGAGGAACAAACAGGTTGCGATTTACATATTCATATAAAACAATGTGGTATTAAAACTTCAGGACTTCGCTTATTGCCATTTTTTTAGTTTCCCTCTCTAGAAGAAATTATTATTTGCAACTAATCGGTAACATTGTCACGCAAATTCCGCAGTTTTTGTCGGAAATATTACTGTCATAAATCATGATACCTTCCTTGTTTGTCTTTTCTGGTTCTTAAAAGTAACAATGAAGATGACCAAGAAAGGAATAGATAGAAAATGAAATGATATCATTTCCATTGATATGTGTTTTCATTTGCCATATTACCATAGCCTACATGACTTTTCTTTGTCTCCTACAGTTAAGAAACCATGTCAATGAGTGTACTTTAAGAAGAATTCCGTGTCGATTCAAAGATATCGGATGTACCTTTGAGGTATTATGAGTATACATAATGATACATTCATATTGAAACTATTAAACATTTTATACAAACAAAAGTTACATTAACATTGTTTTTTTTTAACAATTATTGTATCCATTTTAACGAAACATTATCTTCTACATATCATTCGTATAAAACGAACTTTTAACCGAGTGAAAGGAAATATAGTTTATAGTTTATACAGATAAGCATAAAAATAACAAGAACAGCGTTGTTACAAGTAGCACATATTGTAGGGTCTGGAGGAGGTCGCGCAGAAGCATAGTGTGGATGGCTTACCACACCACCTGGAACTCATCGTCTCTCGGGAGATGCTTGCCGAAAATGCCACAAAGGAATATATCGACGAAATCCAGGTAAGGAATACAAACGACGACTGTGATTAAGCATAAAGTTCGTATTGTTTTATGTACATTCGTGTCAATATTATAAAACCGAAGAAATAACGAATTGAAACAAATTCATTGACAGAAAACGATACAAAAATTACTCGGACAATCGGAAGAGATGAAAAAAATACAACAGGAAAATCAACAGCTGAAAAAAGAATGTCAGGCAAACAAGAAATCGATACAGGATATGAAGGTAAGATTAAAATATACATATAAACTGATAAAAGGAAATAGATTAAATAATTGAATAATAAAAAATAAAGATATAAAAAACAATAACAAACATGACACGCCCTCCCTTTATTTCGTTTGAGATATAGCTGTAGCACGATTAAGGCAGGGGACACTACTGCCCTTGTCACGCTAGGAGACCAATTAGCTCAGTTGGTTGACACTTGCTCTGGGGGCATTCGCAATTTTGATACTCAGACACTGTTTTTTTCTGTTTTGTTTTTATAAGTTTATTTATTTTTTAGAACTATTTTTTTCCTAAAATGTCCGTAAGATATAAAAATAATCTATTAAAGCTATAGCCATATCAGAATTAAGTTCCCAGTACACAGTTACGGCTTGTTTGGCAGTAGCACGGTAGTCCTTTACCTTCAGACTTTGGTTTGGTTTGTTTGTGTTTTACGTCCTATTAACAGCTATGGTCATTTAAGGACGTACCGGGTTTTAGCGTTGGAGGAAAGCCGGAGTTCCAGGAGAAAAACCACAGACCTACGGCCAGTACCTGGCGACTGCCCCACGTAGGCATCGAACCCGCGACCCAGTGGTGGAGGGCTAGTTGTAGCAGAATGTCAGACGCCTTAACCACTTGGCCACTGAGGCTCTTTCAGACATTATTGTTTACAGCATCTTTGAGTTCTTTCATATTATTACTGTTATTTGACATGCATAACTATGCCGTTATGTAACGTGAAACTTTAACTGTGAATGTTACGTAACATGAAACTTTATCTATGGCTGTTATGTAACGTGAAACTTCAAATATGAATGTTATGTAACGTAAGACCTTAACGTTGACTGTTCTGTAACGTGACACTTTTAACTTTGATGTTTTGTAACGTGAAACTTTAACTGTGAATGTTACGTAACGTGAAACTTTATTTATGGCAGTTATGTAACGTGAAACTTCAAATATGAATGTTATGTAACGTAAGACCTTAACGTTGACTGTTCTGTAACATGACACTTTTAACTTTGATGTTTTGTAACGTGAAACTTTAACTATGACTAGTAGCTAATGGCAATAACAAATACTTGTGTCGTAATACTGCAATTCATTATATAATGCAGAAAGTATTGGCGTCCCAAGGAGAAACGGTAATCAACGTCGGGCGACAACTAGAGGACAAAGTCAGTACGGACAGAGTAAACGAAATCAAGAGTGATATCACTACTGTCAGAGACACGTTACAGGGGACCAGACAAAGACTGGATACTGTAGAGAAAGCAGGGATAGCAGGTGGTCAGAGTGGAGGTAAATACTTTATTAGTGTAGATATATTCCACAAATGACACTTTTCTACCTGTATAGTCAATATATGAAGCTGCTGGTATGTCTGGTATTTACCAGAATACGTGTTATTTGATCGTTATTTTAACAGTAAAGATATTGACATGTGTTTTATGGAATCATTTTGAGACTAAAAGATACCGAGTCGATTGATTTTGCAAAATGTCTAAGACAATGAAGAGATGTCTAGGTTGTGTTTTTAGATAATGCGCGAGATAAGAGTTATGAGGAAGTAATTTTGGTTTTAAGGTACTTGGGGGGCAATCGTTTGAAGACAAGAAAATCAAATTTAAGAAACAAATAAATGAACTGAAACAAAATAAGGAATTACTTAGTTTAAGGCGCACATTATATGAAATATATTGATAAAAATGGACAGGCGGATACGCATAGCGTGCTGAAATATGAATTCCCTACTTTTGTAAGCAGTGTTATTTCGTTTTCTGCATATACGCTTCCTCGCCCTGGAAAACAAATGATCGGTTATCACACCTTCTACCCTACTCACAGTGTGTTTCATTATCCAACATTCTTAAATATTTTATGCGATAAGACTAGATTAATATTAATTTGGTTTTTGCATTTAATGATATAGGCGCCAACATGCAAGTAGTTGAACGTGCCGAAAAACAGATCGGGCTAATGGATGTCCGTGTTTGCGAAATTGACTTGAGGCTACAACTGCTAGAGACCGTCAACTACAGCGGTGCCCTGATGTGGAAGATCCGCGATTACAGTCGGCGGAAACGAGAGGCGATTGATGGCAAAACGCTGTCACTCTATAGTCAGCCGTTTTACACCAGTCAATACGGCTACAAACTGTGCGGGAGGGCTTATCTGAATGGCGATGGGTCAGGGAAAGGTACATATCTTTCTTTCTTCGTAGTTATCATGAAGGGAGATTTCGACGCACTTCTGCCGTGGCCATTCATGTTACCTATCACTCTCATGGTTTTGGATCAAAGTGAAACGGCTTTACACGTACGTGAATCTTTCACGCCGAACCCGGATAGTAACAGCTTCCGTAAACCAACGACGGAAATGAACGTAGCATGTGGCGTTCCGTGCTTTATGCAGCACACTAAGCTCGAAGCCGAAAGATATTTAAAAGACGACACTATCTTTTTGCGGGCAGTTGTAGATTGTTCAAAAGCAAAACCTATGTATTAGAAATAGCTCGTCCGCTATCCCGACGTGTAACGACATGATATTTCTTTCAAAACAAGTTATTTCCATGTTTCACTTTGGTCATAGATAACATATCTACGTTTGAATATTTACAAACTATTCTACCCTCGCCGTGCAAAGTCATGATAAATGAAATGTTTTATTGCAAATGGCCGAAATACAAACTCGTACATGTAAGTGATATTGATGAACACGCGTGTGAAGTTTCGTGGCAGTTTGACAAGACACGAAGTCGGTAGAGCATTGACGCCGTTTGGGACACATACAATGTACTACCTTTTACCAAAAGTGATTTTTCCCCAGCATATTTTTTTTATGGATCAAGTCAGCCTGTATTTCCGCAACTCACTACATTGAGACAATTAAAACACGAATTACTGAAGCAAAGCACAGAGATATTACAACTTTTTAACTGTACACAGGCTTTTAAAAAAAGGCGTTTCCAGAAAATTGAATTCTTACGTTGTCAAATAAGGAAAAATGTCAGCGGAATTCTGATTAAACAAAGATCATCTTACTGATAACCCTAATTAAGACTGTGGTTATTCTATTGAAGATGTAAGTCGCTCCTTCCATAATTGCCCAAAATATGTAAATGAAGGACAAATTTTATCTCATTATCTGACGGGATTGATAATAACATCTCGGATACTTATACATTCACTCAAGGGGATATAAATCTTAGCATTAATTTTAATTAATTCTTACCCGCGTTCTAAAATATATTGAAAAGTCTGATATTTACAAATACTGTACTGCGAAATATCTTATCTTTTATTCAATTTATGCATGCAATTCTAGTGAAGTGGATTTGCAGGGCACTGTGTGTAGTGAGTGACCTTGGTGTGCCTCTAACCAAACACTTAACCATAAGTGTTAAAATCTCTGATATTCGAGCTTTTAATCTCTTTGTGAATTTATAATATCTCAGCAAATGGCCTGGTTCTTATGTACCTTTATTTAACTGAACATATATTATTTGTACATTTTCTGTATTATACATATCTTTATCTGAAATGTATGTCTGCGATCTAAATGCCTTTTAAAGGCAATGTCTGTGTCCAATCCTTTTTGTTCATTTACTTCAATAACATTTATCTTATATAAATTATTACCAATTAATTTTAATTGACTCAAACTATCAATCAAATATTTATATATTATTTGAGCATACATGGATTTACATTTGTATCTCCCCTATACCATTTGTTATATAGACTGAGGATTTATGTTACTTATGATATACATTTTGCAACAATATTTTCTTATTAATCGTTTCATCTTTGTCTCTGTCATGTCAACCTGAGGGGAGAACTTATATAGGCCTAGCCTGATGTTCAATCCGTTTATTCAATAAAATATGATGAAATAAATCTGATATAAAAATGTCTATGTTTATGTATTATAGAGAAAAACGAGATTATGGCTTACGTATAAATTACGTCGACATATCAATTTTCCTAGACAATTTGGCCGATTTACTTATAACATAAATAGGTTACTCGACTGCTTATCGCGTTAATGGTTCAATGTTACATCGAATGGCAACTTTTTTTTCTTCTTTTTTTTAGCATAATATTTTTTCTTTTGTTTTTTTATGATATTTTCCAAAATTGTATGACATACACATATCAATATATATACATACAATGTACATTGGCGTCTAGAATCGCCTTTAAATAATGTACATACTGTTCAAAATATTCGATTAAGTATCAGTATTCGACATACATATATATTAACAAATAAGTATGCATTCACATTTTTGATATAAAAATAAACTTCCGGATATTCTTGTCTGGCAACTTATATATTATGCATATTAATAAAATTGTGTTCCAAGAAATATTCACGTGCTTAAGTTATAGTTTATTCTTAATAGGTTTACCAATCACTGAGCCTCGTTTTAGTATGTGCATGTCGGGGAGTTTAACTAGATTACAGGTAACATGTCGATGTCAATACTGAGTAAAGCCGAGATATCTAATAATAGGACTAATGTTTCTCGATTTTTTTAATAACATATTGACGTAATTTGAACACCATTGCTACATGTTCGTAAATTCTAAAATTAAACATTAAGATCTTCTCAGACTAGCAATATTGTTTTTAATTATGTTGACATAAGTAATGCGTAGATCGTAATTCGATGGCTGCAATATGCAACCACATATTACACCATAATAGAGATATTGAATGACAATCATGAAAATATCATTTCTTATTTTCTGTAACCTCGACCCATCAACGTCACAGTTGATTCTACACAATGATATGCATTATGGATGTGTTGACCAGTCATTGCCGTGTTCGTCTATAAATGACCGATTATAGAACAAAATACTGAAATAGTTGGACATAATGAATAGAATAAGGGAGAAATTGTTCCCTGAAATACTGGCTGAATAATATAATCAGACGGGGCTTGATAGAACAAAGAACACAATATCGAATGATATTATTTTATTTACACAAAGTAACGAGTATGGGACAGAATAAATTAAATAACATTAAACATCAACAAATTAAACACAATTACAAACAACGCGTTTCCTTATTGAGGCTCTGTTGTACAAAGTGAAAAAAATGTGATGAATAATGGTGTACACTATTTTTAATTTTATGAAACTCTTCGAGAATAAACAGGCAAATTCGTGGAATTTATATCCCCCGCTTGCAGGACATATTGTAGGTTAACATTATTGAGGTTAGGTTTAAACATGTGAGTATGGTGCTGTTAAGGCATAATGTATAGCTTGACACCTGAAGAAAAAATATCCATATACCTCATAGAATATCCGTAAATATGCATAAATCACATCGGTTGGCAAACTTAGCATAAGTCGGATGTGCATACGGAATTTGGTTGAAACATCTGAACAATATCTACAGCAATTATCACACGAAAACCAAAGAGTGCCCGAGATGGGTGGAAAGACAGAGGATCACAAACATTGTTATCAAAATTGAAGGAATTTGGCTAATATTTGCTAAAGTTATTACCGGTAAGCAGAAACTGCATATAATGACGTTTTTTCGTTAATCAAGGGGTCATAACTCTGTAAAATAGAGTTCGATTAAAGTGGTCATCAAACTTGGCGGATCCCTTAAGGTAGTTAACCCTGTGACCCAGTTTGAAGAAAATCGGTTAACATTTGTTGTAGTTATTGCACGGAAACGAAGTGCGGCAGACAGAAAGACAGACAGACAGACAGACAGACAGACAGACAAACCCAAATTGATATCCTCCGTTTCGGTGAAAGCGGGGGATAATAAAATAGCAGATTGTCATGCGTTATTCTGTGACTAACCATTTTATCCTAAACACATGGATAAGAATATTAAGCAAATACATGGAAACAATTATTTTTATTTTATTAATTTTATTTATCGTATTTTTCTGTCAAGAGAACATGGAAGAAACTTAAACTTTTCAATTGCATGTGTTACAGTAGTCGAGATCTTAATTTTTTTTCTCTATTTGTACTTGATTTATATATTTACTTTTGCATTGTCTCGAGAACAAAAACTCGCTTAGCCATTTATCTACTATGTGGTTATTGATGACATTATTGTGTTTACCAGCAAAATACAAAGAAAATAGTTTAAACTTGTTGCGCATACCTAAACAAGACAATGTGTGTTACCTCCCATTGTGACCTGTATCGTATCTCACTCACTCTGGTGTTCATTTGCATATTTTTCGGAGGTAACCGAGTTGATAATAAACCAATTATATCTTGATATATCTGCATACAAGTTTTTGTATCGAATACATTTTGAATACAAGAAAGCAGTTAACTAGAAATGTATGCTCATCGATATTCCGAAAGTAAGAAACATAATGTTTTAATTAAATGGATAACGTATAACTCTCTTAAATAGGTAAAGTTTAGCCAAGTGTGGAACATCAGTATTAAAAAGCTATCATAACTTATCACTTTTGAAATAATTACTAGAAATCAATTGTCTTAAAATAGTCTAACGTGTCAGAGAACTACAGTCTATAATTGAACACATGCGTTGTGAAGTGGATTATAAAGTAACGGTTATTAGAAGCTAAATGATGTTGTTATTATAATTTTGTAAAATGTTTCCTTGAAGAAATAATTATTACATGCAGCGTACAATGTATTACGAACCTCAAAGCAATGATTAATTAAGGAGAGCCCAAAATGTAGCCAGAACTGGAACCTCATGAGCCTTAACCTTATGAAGCCCACGGATCCCTACATCGGAATTATCGTAAGCAAGACGTATAACCTCGACCTTAATAATGACATTCGCTGTTGATGGGACGTTGAACCTCAAAAAATCAAATTGAGCGTTCGCCAAAGCAAGGCTATCATCGGATCTATACCATCAACAAAATAATAACGTATATATCTAAAGCGGTACTCACTGCTTCCTGCTTGACTTTCAAATTTACTGTAGGTGGTTGGCGATAAGGGTTGGTTAGCCTGGAGACTGAATTGGATTTCTTGTGTTTTCATACCCCAATAGTGACCATGAGTAACTCCATCATCGTAGACATAGCACTTACATGACCTAAGTTGCCGCAATAACTTATAAAATGTGAACAAATTAAAAAACGAACGAATGAACATTTGTTGTAAAGACGATTTGCGTATGAAATTATACAAACTATTTAATTATATATCCCTATACACAAAAAATATTAATATGGGGCAAACTGTAAGTTCCTAGTATAATACTTCATTAATTTACATGTATTCTGCGTCTACCATGAGACACAACGTGTTCTCTTTCACATATTGTGGAGTCTCAAGCTTCAAATGGGTCATAAACCTTTCAAAGCCAACAGGTATGTTCATATGTTCCTGTGGTTTTTCGAAATTTTTCGATCTGCTGTTTGGAATACATTCATCTACGTGATGACAGCCACCGCCAGTTTGATCTAGGATCATCAATTTTACTTTGCGACTAAATGGCCATGTCAGTATGTCATCTATTTCACTTCTAACGAGGGCAAAGAAAATAGATAAATGAAACCCTTTTCCACTCCCATTCCCATTGAAGTAAATCTGTACACACATTGTATAGCCATATCGTGAAGATAGAAACGAGTGGCTGGTTTCGCATTCGTTCCTTTCCTTCTTCTGTCGGTAGTCCTTGATTTTCCACAGAAGGCCAATTTTGGCTTCCGCCGGATGATATGCTTAAATAAAAGAGGAAAAAGTTAATATCAAGTATCGTGATCTGACTTGATATGTACATTTTGCAAAATAATATCATTTGCTCGTTGAAAATGTATGCAAATCACATGATTGCATAGAAATGTTTTACTTGCCGGCAATATACTTGAGAATTAAGTACAAACGAACGCGTCCCAGAGAAACAACGAAATCGTTCTGATTATCGTATATTGGAACTAATATTTAGCCCACCTTTTTATCATGTTGTTAGTAACGATCGAGGAGAGCGGCTGATGTAAATGAGGATAGTGTGTCCTTGTTTCTTTTCAAACTATAGAGGGTATATACGATCGCAATTGTCAATAAAATCCTTGCTATTGTAATACACATATTGTCGGTATATCTAAAAGTGAAATCGAAGGATCTCTCCCCCCTCTGCAGTTCATTTCGACATAAAGCAATTAATATAATTCTGTTCTCTGAAGTGAAAACTGTCAAAGATATGCATTGAACTTGAATTTTATCATAAAAGGGTTTGAATCATTTTATATTGAATTTTGCCCAGCAACGTGTTCATATATCTGGAGTGGCATACATTTAAATATTTTGATTACATATGCACGTTGATTATCAATCAACACAGTTAATCTTAATAGAAATTACACATTTCTAGGCCAAACAACTCTCTGTTGTCTACGATTGTATTCCTCTATCTGTCTGACGGTCGTCCTTGTCGTATTGTGTTCTTCTTGTACTTTAGATAAAGCCAGTGCGTGCTGCTGAAGCTGCTCCTCTGTTCTACGTTGTTTCGCAATTGCATTTTCTCCATTGCGAGCCACTGTCAGCTATTCATAATCAGATATATAATTTGTTGTCATTATTTTGAAACTACTTTCATATTTTCAAATAATTTTAAGGGTATATTCAGATTTTTGTAAATTTTTGAACAATTTTCTTTCGCCGCTGAATAGAGACTGCCATGAAAAATATATCCTCTAATTCCTTTGTGATTTCGAATATTGACCAAAACATATTTTTTTTCCAAATATTAATATATTTGACCATCACAGTACATCTTGCTTTGGATATACCAGTAAGATAATGTTTATTGAAGCTTTACCTCGAAGGAGATACATATATATGGTGTGTATTTTTCGTCTCTTCATAACAAGCAGTTGTATATATGGTTAAAGAGTGACAGGCTAACGGGGGAAAGGCGGATCCTGCTAGCGTGTGGCAGCATTTGTCTCATAATGTCTAATATTTGCACATATGGTTATAGGGTTGGATTTCCATTTATGTCAAGTTATGGCTACATCGCCCTATTTGCCCCGCATTTTTGTCTATTTTTATACTCTTTGAGTAAGTTAGTTGAACTTAATACCAGGTATTAAAAACGTATTAAAGCAGTTTTTGTTATTGCGTAAATGTAAAAGTACGCCAAAGTGACCCGGCAGTCATCAATTTTACAGATATCCAATGCGTTCAAATTTGCCAATTTAATATATGAATTAGGATGCCCTCAAAGAGAGTAATTGAGACAACGTTACACATCTGTATGTATGCATAACATTATATTTAATCCATACACATAAATATATATTTATACTTACTATGCAGCGTGTACAATTATTCTTGATTTTCTTCACATCATTCGACAGCTTGTCCTCCTTTTTATATGTATACAAGAACGAGTAACGATAAGGTTGAAGATAAAGTCTAACATATTTATCTATATTGCTGAAATATTTTACAGCATTTAGTTAGAAAAAGTTGATAGTTATGGAAATGAACTTATAATACATACGCATATCTTATATGATCAAACTCCCATAACAGGTGTAAATGTATCGAGTATCTTTATAATGTTCTTTGTCGAAGCTGTCGGTATTTGTTCTGTTATACCAAGCACAGTCGAGTAAAAACAGAAAACATAACTCGAAAGAAGTTAAACGATTAAAAGTGCAAATGAACAAAAAAAAAGACACACTTTGAACTCATCGTTGATAAGAAAAGAAATTAACAAAATAAAATTATCAAACCAATGAAAATCCAGGGTCGAAAGTACATTTTCTGGAAGGAGTAAGTGTTCTAAACATTATAAGTGGTCAACGATATCACATTCTATATCACGTTCAAGTCATTCAATACATTGGACATCGTAATATTAGTTCGTGATGTCGACCATCAAAGTTTTTGAAGAAAAGTTTATATTTCTCAACGAAAACATCTTACCAACTGTAGAAGACAGTCGGCATTATATTTGATTTAAAGTTCTTAATTAAAAATTAGATATAAGTAATGACAAACACTTTTGTATATTAAAATTTCTCAGTGAAAGACTCTACCTGAAAAATGGAAACCGGCATTATATTTTCTATTATAAGTTCTTAATGAACAATTAAATACATGTAATAACCCAAATAGCCGGTTATTAAAAAATAACAGTTATCAGTTCATTCGGAATAGGTGAAATGAAATGAAGAAAACAAAAATAACATGACTAGTAATTTTGCACAGTTAGAACTATTGGGAAATTGGCAGCATGTTAAATTGGTTTCCCACTAAATCTATGGTCAAAATTGTCGACTAAACAAGTGGTCACTAACACAGTAAACATCCTCTAAGTACTGGTGTTTTTTTCTGATGACATATAACTGATCTTCATCCTAGGAGGATCAAGTGTCGAAATTGAACGCGAAAGCGTTATATGAAAGATGATTATTGTATTAAGCTATTAATATTTGATCTTCATTAGATTCCCATATTTTCACATTTTGCCTTAGATTCTTATATTTCCCATATATTATATACCCTACCTGAAAACATGAGCTATTTTGCAAATCTGTCCGGACTTCAACGTCTGATGCCTGCGATTCAGTGGAAGTCGTACTGGTCCTGATATGGCAGTCATTCTGATGTACTGTACCTTGGTGAAAAAAAGTCAATAGATGTGAATTGAGTTGATTCAAGTGTTAATAAAAATATTAAAATCATATACTAAAACAAGGAATTATAAACAGTAATTCAATTGATTCAAGAGTCAAAGGAAAAAAGTGCCACTTACGTATAATGTGGGTCTAAGAGCGCTGAAATGGGTGACAGTACTAACGAAATATAGAATTCTAGCGTGTTATTATTATATATAATTTAGCATAAGTGGGTACAGGTAAGTACATGCAATCGAAGACAGATCTATTCCATAGAATCCTGTACAAATACTAGATGGGGACATTCCAGAACAACAAGATTTCAACATATATTAATCACTTTTGTTGGCCCGGATGTTAGCGAGCGGGGATCTTAGTGTGGGGAAAAAACGGAGTACCCGGAGAAAACCCACGTGGTCAGGCAGGTGACACAGTACCTTTTCATGTCCGATCGGGGAACATTCCAGTTCAACTACTAGATTGGGACATTTCAGTATAACCACTACATAGGGACATTTCAGTATAACCACTACATAGGGACATTTCAGTATAAATACTACATGGGGACATTTCAGTATAATCACTACATGGGGACATTCCAGTTCAACTACTAGATTGGGACATTTCAGTATAACCACTACATAGGGACATTTCAGTATAACCACTACATAGGGACATTTCAGTATAATCACTAGATGTTGACATTTCAGTATAACCACTAGATGTTGACATTTCAGTATAACCACTAGATGTTGAAATTTCAGTATAACCACTAGATGGGGATATTTCAGTATAACCACCAGATAGTAACATTTCAGTACAACTAAAAGATAGTAACATTTCAGTACAACTACTAGATGAGGACATTTCAGTACAACAAAAAGATAGTAACATTTCAGTACAACTACTAAATGAGGACATTTCAGTACAACAAAAAGATAGTAATATTTCAGTACAACTACTAGATGAGGACATTTCAGTACATCAAAAAGATAGTAACATTTCAGTACAACTACTAGATGAGGACATTTCAGTACAACAAAAA